TGTGCCCCATCTCATGTGCTTCAGGGGAAGACACACAGAGAAAGAAAACATGACACCAAATACCTCAGCATTTGTATCTGCTTCTTAATAGATCAAATACAGAACAGTTCACACAGTGTACAGCCTCAGTGCACTTGCCCAGTGCCAAGTCCAGAAGGGAGAAGAGGACCCAGTACCCCAACCCCAGGGTAGAGATGCTTTACAAAAGGTTTACCTATTACAAAAGGTACTATTTGGGCATGTTTCTCTAGGTACCATAGTCCAGAGAGCACTGTGTTGCCCTTCAGCAACACCCTCCATCTTCACCTTTGGCTGCAGAGCAACACAGGAGCCAGCAACAGCCTCATTACTGACAGGGGATCCCAAATGGTCCCTCCATGGGATACACAGCCAAGGCTTTCCCAAGCACAGCCTAATGTAGATTAACTCACCTCCCCACACCTCAGCAAAGTCCAGGTCACCGAGAACAGGAGTGGCCAAGCCATAAACACTCCCCTATGCGTCATTCACAGAACGCCCTCCCTTCTTTATCAGGAGCATCTTTCAGTGCTCTCCCACTGACCCTACCTGCTGCTGTGTGCAAGCTTCACAGAACCAGCCCCACGGTCAATAACCATGGTAAAACTCAGACTCACATGGCTGAAGTGGATGCAGATCCTGGGGCCTCCTCTCCTCCAGGCTCAGCATAATTAGGGAGCAGCCAGCAAACCACAAGTGCACTCACAAAAGAAGCTTGCGTCTGAAGGGCTTTGACTGCAGCTTCTTGTAAGTACTCACAAACATCTGGTGCCTGGCAAGCTCGCCTGCCTCTTGGAAGGGGTTTCCAATGAGAAAATTCCTGTAGCTTGCACCTGAAGCCTCTGGAGCACACCATGCAGCACTCGGATCTCTCCCCTGGCTCCTCTTCTAAGTTGCCAGCTTTGCGGAAAAGCCATTTCTGGCACTGGCTGTCCCTCCATGGCCTCCCCACCCACCCCAATGCATTTTAAACGGTGCACATGGTCCAACAGGGGACAATTGTTCCCTTGAATGTTCATGGGTTGATAAGCAGTTTTGTTAATTCAAGTGATAGTTCCAGTTTTATTGGTGCAATGAAACAGGGCCCACACTGGGGACAGTCACCCCAGGGAAGAGGCAAATAAGGGTAATGCACTTCCCCCCTTCTAGTAGCCCCTTTCACATGCTTGAGTGTGCAGCCACACTCAAAAGCCAGTCTCGGAGAGACTTCCTTAAGCATCTATTGAAGATTAAATGATCTCATGTGCAGCCTGTAATGATGGCCACTACCAAAAATTGTTCCCATCTGAAAGCTGCACTGTGCTCCCTGATCCAAATCGGGCTGCTGACCTCAGAAGAGATCCCAGTGGGCAAACCACCACATCACAGAAGCTCAGCCCACCACGAGCACCACTAATTGTGCCCTTGTCTGCAGGCTCCGAGTCAAGGCAGCTGCTAAAGGGCAGGGGAGCTGTGCTCTCAGCTTGTATTACGAAGTGACTCTCTCCTGAGCCTCTTTTCCAGTGTGTCTGGGGAGATGCTGTCTCAGTCCCTGCTGTGAGGTACCTTTTGTCTGGCAAAAATCACTGCACCCCTAATATGACTCAGTTAAAGCCTATATGAATCGTCTCATTCACAAAAGCAGGCGCTGGATTCAGCGCTGCAAAGTAGCCAAAGACCATCATAAGCCAAATAACCTAAACCCAGGCCCAGCCTTCGTGCAGGAAGAGGCAAACCTGCCATGAACATGGATGCTTTGACCCAAACTAGCCCCCAGACCAGCACACATCTGCTGTCACTGCATTTCCACAAGACTCTTGAAACTACAACCAGCTCCCTGCTGTTGTCTCATATTCCCCAGTGAAGGCTGCAAGTGGTAAAAGGATCTTGATGGGTAAAAGTTATGCTTCCATTTAAGAAGACCCACTAATGGCACCTTGTGCATCTGTCACTGAATTAACATCAATTTGAAACCATACATAACTGGTGAAGGGAACAGCTTGCTTACATTAGAGGTCTGGCTGAAGGGAGACCTTGGGCTTTGCTTCTCCTGGGGGGTTGTGATCAGTGAACAAGAAAGCAGATACTTCCTTGTGGGTATTCACAGCTTTGCAGATAGCATCCCTTAGGCAGGTTGAGACTTCTGAGATCAATGTGGGCAAAGGGAATGGGAGACTGCAGAATAACATTTGGGGAGCAAAGGCAGTTACAGCAACCATAAAACGCACGTGCACGTTCTGGAGAGCAAAGCTATGGAACAAGAGGCACAGCCTCAGGTTGTGGGGTCACTTTCACTCCCTCCCTCCCAAAGGTGCCTCTTTCTACACCCTGCCAGGAAAAACAAAGAAACCTAATGTAAAAATGCAGCAATCTGGTGCTCCAGTGCCCAAAACGTAGGTGTCTAATGCTGTTTTAGGCACTGCTGGGGGATCCAAGACATCTGCAAAGGGCTGGCAGATACAGCATCAGAGCCATGGCAGGCTCCATCCCGGGATACCCCAGGGCATGGAATGCGGCACTCACGCCTACGTTTGGGCATCTGAACAGCTCCCCAGAGCACCGAGTGTTTGGACAGTTGGAGTTAATCATGGAAGGGAAACGGAGCTGCAGTGAGGTTTGGTAGCAGAGTGGGTAGAATAGGAAAGGATCCGAGCACAGGGAACAATCTGGCTTAGTCCGAGGGAGAAGGACACGGAGGAGCACAGCTGCCAGCAGCTCAGAAAAGGCTTTCAAATTCTTTCTGCATCATGCTGAAGTTTAGTCGTAAGTGACAACAGGGGACCCTGGGACAGCAAGATGCTGTCTGAAAGGTGTGACCTGCTGAGCTTTTAGACTCTGATGTGTTCCACATGTCTGAGCGCCTCCCAGACACGTCCTCTGCACATGTTATGCAGCCACATTATCCTCCGCATCTTGGGACAGGCATCTGGAAGTGTGGAGGTATGTTTTCAGCAGCCCACATCACAGTCTCAGGCCTGACCCCAGTTGTCAGTGGGAGTTTAGGCCCCAAACTTCCTTCCAGTGCTTTTGAAGCTGGGGGCTTGCAGGGGAGACAGACTTAAGGTTTAGACCTCAGCTCCTGGTTTAACCCTTTCACCTTGTGCCTGTCCTCCCTCCTTGGGTAAAACAGGGGGTATTTCTATGCTTCCTTTGATGATGACAACTTTTATGCAGCAATTAATTTTTCCAGTGGAGGAATAACATAATCCTCTGAGGAGAGTGTGAGCCAGCCCTTCAAGCTTCCCATCCCTCCTGGCCCCTTTCCTCCCTTACCCTCCTGCAACACAGACAACCCAAGAGTATGGAGCAGCTCAGTGCTCTCCTTATCTCAGCCTTCCTTCTAAACACCCTGTTATAGAAAGAAAACAAAGTAAGAAATAAGTAAATAAATAATAAATAAGTTGGTTAGAAACTTTTCCCAAGTATTTTCAGTTTTGCTGCTCCTGAGATATCAGCGAGGACGAAATTGTGGGTCCTCGCCATGGCTTGGTTTATTCCCTGGATTGCACCCCCATCAGCAGCTTAATCAGTGCAAATCAAATTACTCCTCCTGTTTACTTATCTCCAGAGCGCTGGCACTGGCAAGTGGTTTATCTCATCATGGCAGGAGCCAGCGCCTTCCTTGGGGGTAGGACAGGATCTCCACAGAAGCTGCTTGTAGTGGAAGAAGGGGTACAAATCAGGAAAGCTCTGCTGGCTCTGCTCCCCAGCACTGAGGTTATGCTGCTGCTTGCTAAGGGTAGTGGAGGAAGCCAAAATGCAGGATGCCCAAGGGGTGGAGGCTGCCTCCTCCTTGTGAATGCGCAGCCTGGAAGCAAGGGTTTGCGATTTTGGCTGATTTGTAAAGAGGTGGTGGTGGCCCTGTCCATTGCAGTGACATGTGGTTTGCAAGTGCGGTGGTTTGTAGAGCTGACACCGCATCCTTCATGCTGCTTCTGTGGTCAGTCTTCCCTCCTGCCTGGGAGATGAGGGCTATGCCATGACAGAGGTGTGGGGTACAGGGACTGTGTGAGCGCATCCAGGAGCACCTACACTCAGCATACATTCAGTGTACAGCCAGAGCGAACACTGAGCATGGCCAGTGCTGATGCTGGGGCAGGGCACAGTCAGTACCCAGCAGACCTGCATTTCACTCCCATGACTGAGTAAACTGGATTCTCCCATTGCCCAGAGAAGCTGTGGCTGCCCCATCCTTGGCAGTGTTCAAGGCCAGGCTGGACAGGGCTTGGAGCAACCTGCTCTAGTGGAAGGTGTCCCTGCCCATGGCAGGGGGGGTGGAACTGGATGAGCTTTAAGATCCCTTCCAACCCATTCTATAATTCTATGACTGCTTCATGCCTCAGTTCCCCCCTTGGTGACAATGTCTCCACACTGCTTTGCTATGCCCAGCAGGGCAGCCTGTACAACAGAGGCAGAAATATGCCTTTGTTATTGCTGCGTTTCACATCACCGGGAGCACGCTGGAGCCTCGGGCAACACCAACACGAGTCTTCCAGTGCCTGGGTAGATGAACTGACCCTGTTCCTGCGAGTTTTATGTTTATTTTGGGGCAAAAGCAGCGCTGGGTATCATAAGACAGCCCGTGGAGGTCTCCCCCACCCAGCCAGGCCACCTTCACCCCTCCCAGGTCCGCTCTGTGTACCCACAGCCCCGAAGGCAATGCTGCTGTGCCAGAGCACAGCTCCCGGAGGGATAATCAGCCGAATCCCGGGTTTCCCTTGCCGTGCATGTATCCAACCCGTACTAACCCTGCCAAGTGAAACGGGCGCCCTCCCCCGTCCGTCCCCCCCGCTTCCAGCACCGGGGCCGGGCAGGTCGGAGCCGGCCGCCGTGGGGCAGCCCCCGGCTGCTGTGGAGAGGGAGGGGAACGGGCGGGACGCGGGGCTGGGCCGGGGCGGGGCGGAGCGGAGCGGGGTGCCGCCGCCGCCGCAGCGCCGGGAGGAAGCGGGGCTGAGTGAGGGCTGGCGCGGAGGCGCCTCACCGCCTGCTTGTTCTCCCCGCAGATCTTCCAATGGAGGCAGCTGGAGAACCTCTATTTCCGCGAGAAGAAGTTCTCTGTGGAGGTGCACGACCCGCGCAGGTGAGCGCCGAGACGGGACGAGAAGGGATAAGCTGTGCGGAGACGGGACGAGCCGTGCCGTGCCGAGCCGAGCCGAGCTAAACCGGGCTGAGCCATTCCGAGCCGGCCTTTGCAGTGCTGAGTCGGGCTGATCCGTGCCGAGCTATTCCCAGAAGGGCTAAGCCATGCCGAGCCAGGATGAGCCCTCTCGAGCTATTCCGTGCAGGGCTGAGCCGTGCCAAGCCATTCCGAGCAGGGCTTTGCAGTGCGGAGCTGAGCTGAGCCGTGCCTAGGGGGGATAAGCCCTGCCGAGCCATTCCGAGCCGGGCTTTGCAGTGCGGAGCCGGGTCTTGCCGAGCCATGTCGTGCCGAGGCCGCGCTCCCCACGCTGATGTGCGGGGCTGGCTGCGCTCGGTAACCGGTGAACCCCTAATGAAGGAGCAGCGGGCACCACGCCGGGGGCTGCCGCTTCCTTCCAGCAGAGCACTAAGGATTCGGGTGAGTGTTTTCCAGGATGTGTTTCCCCTGGGCTCCCAGCGGTATTTGTTTTCCTCTTCCCTCTATTTTGGCTGCCGGCACCCCCATACCTGCAGGCGGGAGTTGCCTCGTCCCCGTGTTGCACTTGGAGCCCGGAGATGGGCGCCAGATCTCGTACTCACATGTTTCCTTGTAAATAAATATTCAGTAGTGCAACTGAAAGGAATGGCACGGTACCAGGGCTCTACCGGCTGGCTGGATGTGAGCCCGTCAGTCTTTTTGGCACGGGAGCCTTTCTTTTCCCTTGCTTTACAAATGCAACGCGGCAGAGAGTGGGTTCCAGTGACTGTGCTACATCTAACCAAGTGCATTTGCACCCTCTGCTTGTGTGTGCTAGTGGATGGTGACTGCAGTGACCCATGTGTGTGTTGCTTTGTAGGTTGTTCTCACTAAAAGCAATGTCCCACTTGCAAAATGAGTATGAATCGCTCAGCTGTGAGCCTGTTTCACCTGTTTGCCATGCCTATCTGTCTGCTAATGCATGTACTTTTATTAGGAGAATTTTGCATGCAGTTTCTATGCTTATTTGCCCTGATATGAACACAACACACCAGTCCAATGGTGCCTGTCTCCATAGGTGCATTCTGTTAAAGCAGTAACTGAGCGAGCAGCTCGGATCTTGTGCACCTCCAGGTCAGCAGAGCCTTGAGGCATCTGCTTAATTTTAAGCATATAAATAGTAGCGTGAAACCTAGCAGAGCAAAGTTGAGAATACGTTGGGAGAGCTTCCAGCCATAGGAGCTGTGGGTGCTGCACTCCTTCCCCACCAAACATCTGAAACGCATGCTGCAAGCCACAGGCAGCAAGAAGCCCCTCAGCACCCAGGCTGGCCCTTTCCTGGGAGCAGCAATCATAGAATCATAAGATGGTTTGGGTTGGAAGGGATCTTAAAGCTCATCCAGCTCCAACCCCTGCCATGGGCAGGGACACCTTCCACTAGAGCAGGTTGTTCCAAGCCCTTGTGTCCAACCTGGCCTTGAGCACTGCTGGGGATGGGGCAGCCACAGCTTCTCTGGGCACCCTGTGCCAGTGCCTCAGCACCCTCACAGGGAAGAACTTCTGCCTGAGAGCTCATCTCAGTCTCCCCTCTGGCAGGTTAAAGCCATTCCCCTTTGTTCTATTCCTACATGCCCTTGTAAAATGTCCCTCTCCAGATTTACCCCTTTAGGTATTGAAAGACTATTCTAAGGCAAGGAAATAGTTATAATTGCAAGGGAAAGAAACCAAATAGCTCTGGGATCTCAGAATCATGATCTTTGCAACTCAGTGTCATGCATGAAATGTGACCACACAGAGGACCCTCCTCAGTGTTGTTTGTATTTAAATGATGGGAATTACTGACACAGAAGAGCTTCCGTTCGTCATTTCATTGTGTTCAACACCAGGAGGACAAAACCCCATCCCAGGTTGTCAGCCTGGTACTTCCTCACTACAAGGAAATGAATGTGGCTGGTTTCTGTACCCACAGAATACCACCACCCGGGTCAAGACAGTGCTCTGTAAAGCAGCGCAGCACATTGGAGTTACATGGTGGGAACACAACTCAGGTTGTAGCCTCGTGGCCAAGCGGGATGGACTCCTGCGAGGAGCTGTTTGGCATGTGGAGGTGGAGGAGTAGCCAACACAGTGCTCTCTCCACATTCCTCTCCATGTAGCCAAACCAGAGCCTGAGTCAGCGAAGCCACAGTCACAGCAGAGCAAGCACTGCTCCATGGTTGTGGCCAGGGCTGGACAGCACAATGTGTGTTTGTAAGCCCTGCCTCTGCCCATGGCTTCCTGTCCTGAACAAGCCATTTAACGTCTCTGCATCGCGGTTGCTTATACCGTAAAAGAGGGAAATGATACATTTTAGGGGGTATCAGCAGGGTTAATTCCATAGGGGCACGCAGGGGAGTCATGGAGAAGAACACCTACGGGCCATATCTCACAGGTCCCCAAAAGATAGCTGTGAAAAGCAAGTCCACAGCTCTGACCAGCTAAGTCTGCAGGCTTTCTAAGCGGAGCTGCAGATTTGATAGGAAGCGTGTACAGATCCCAAAAAGAAAAAATTACTGGAAATCACTGCTTTTAAGATAAGATGAATGGCTTGCAGAGAATGTGTGAGTTCAAAATGAGTAACTGCATTTGAACTGAATAGGATGACACCAGAATTAAGGCTTTAGCTCATGTCCAAGTGCCTTAATGCCTTAAAGCCTGATACACTGTGGTAGTTTATGTCCCTTAAACGAACATAAATCATCCACAGTGGGATCCCGTTTCCAGCCTCAAATGCGAGAGCACTGCCTACATTCCCTGTGCAGTGACAGGGTGAAGGAGACCAGCACACGCCCTCATTAGGACCATCAGTTGCCATCCTGCTGCATCTGTAGAGAGCTTTCTCACAAGAACACTACTCATAATGGGACCAGGTCTTCTGCTCCAGCCACATGGAAAAGACTCGGCGCAGGGTAACACTGAAACATGACATCCCAGCAGTTTCAGGCCTTGTTTGCGTTGGCCGTGGCTGTTTTCTGAGAAACTTCACTCCAATCTGTAGCTTTGCAATTGGACTGTAACACATTTTGCAGCACTGAGAAGGCTCTGACACAAGAGCTGTCAGCCCTCACCCAGGCTGAAGGTCCCACTTTGCTGCAGAGCTTTGCTTTGCTTTCACTCTTGCCTCTCTCACAACTTTCTTTTCACCGTGGGCCTCCCCATACTCACCTACAAGGTAGTATTCCACAGGCACAAGAGGAGAGGTGGCCAGTGCAGGTACAGGAGGGAAACCACTGTCTTAGCAATGCTTGAGGACTTCTAAGTGCTGGTAAAAGAGTTGGCCATCCCTTGCAGTCCACAGTAGAACTTCTGGGCTGTTCTGCAGTGTCACCTCCACATCCGTATTGCACAGAATGCTGCTGACTATGGATTGTGGCAGCCCCTCCACAGCACATCCTGCACTGGCCTCTCTGCACCATCCACGTCCCCGTGTTACAGGCTGTAGCAGAAGTGCCATGTTTCTGAGCTAGCCTCTATACCCATTCTCACATCATAATTATACTCCACCACAACTCTTCTTAACAGACTAGAGAGGAGGACCTCATGTATTCGGGGCTTTGTAGATCGGTGGCTTGGTTTACTCCAGCCAGTGCTGCATCCCTGCAGTAGAAGGAGTTCTGCAACCAGAACACTGTGTGTGAAGGAGCTGAGGGGTGGGAGGAATACTCGAGCAGTTCTGTACAGCTGTGCAAGCATGGGGAAACCTAACCTGTTCCTTTTGCTAATGATTGAGGACAATTGGGAGTCACGGAGAGGAAACATTTAGTTCTCATTTTTCCTGGGTTTATATTCACTCAGCTAATTGCTGAGTCACATTCTTCTCTCCAGGGCACAAAGCAGCCCTCTCCAAGCCTCACAACTCCCCTTTCCCATTACACCTTGGCAAGTCCTGCTACATCTGTTTACAACTGAGGAAATAAAGGTATTTTAAGAGATTCTCCCACATTCCCTAAAGCAGCCATTGATCCAATGGATCTTTAGTTGTCACCTGGGTCCTAATATATGAGAGCTACTGTCCAAAGCTAGAAGTAGTGGAGGGTGTGAGGACTTTGCCTTGGGTGTCTCAGCGATTGAAGAGACACACAGGATTCACACATGCTTTGGCACTGGTGACTCCCCTGGGACACGTAGCAGGTCAGCATCAGCTCAGCCAAACCCAGGAATACAGTCTGAACTGGACAAACTGGAAGATCTCCAGCAAACTGGAGCTTGCTAACTTGAGGAGTTATTTAGAGTAAATGCTTTCCTGGCTGATTGGCTCTTTATTGCTGTTGTCTTAAGCATTTTTTCCCATTAGCATAAAGGTGTGCACAGTAAAGACAGCAGCTTTTACTATTAGGCCTGTGGTAGGTTTTGCTATAGAGAACAACCTGAAGAAACCTTGGTATAACCCCAGTTAAATCTTTTCTCTCCAGGGCATCTGTGACCAGGAGGACTTTTGGGCATAGTGGCATTGCTGTGCATACGTGGTACGCCTGTCCAGCACTAATAAAGTCTATCTGGGCTATGGCCATTAGTCAACATCAGTTCTACCTGGACAGAAAGCAAAGCAAGGTAAGCATGGTGGAGGTGGAAGGTGGAGGTGGGAAGTGCATGTTGTGGTGGGTGAGTCCTTCTCAACTCCTCCCAGTCACAGCAAGGCCAAGTCCAGATGGTGGCTCCTTTCCTGCCCTCCCATGCCACTTGAGATCAAAAAAATGGGCAGATTGACTCAAAATATCTACTGGCTTTGGCCAGATTGAGGGAATTTGTATCAAATCCATGTCTATGGGAGTGAGGATTGAGGGAAAGGTTGTACTGAACTGTGGCCAAAATGGAGGAGACAATGTTTACAAGCAGATAGGGTCACATCCCTGTCTGGATGGTTTCCACATGTCTTCTGGTACTTGAAGTCTGTCATAAAGTTGGGGCAGCTTCCAGTAACTGAGTTTAAAGTAGCTTCACACTCTGTACCTGTGTCTGAATCTGTCCCTTGCTTTCTACTATTGTATTTCCTAGAAATGAGAGCTAGGGGTATTATTTCTCTCTCCACATAGAATATCACAACAGCAGGGGGGCAGGTTCTGACATCCTGGCCTTAAAAGAAACTGTCTCAATCTGGTGCTGCACAAAGGGCAGCACAATACACAAAAGAAACCACCTTGAAACCAGAGGAGTGTGTGTTCTTCCTCTAATTCCTTTCATCAGCAGTAACTTTAGGCATACCCAGAACAGCAGGAGATTGCTTTGATGACTTTGAGAACACTTTGAGGCAGAAGAGATACTTCTCATGCAGACAGCCCTCTCCACATGAGCCTGCTGGTGTTTAACTTTACAGAGATGTGACTCAATACAGAGTCTGTATTGAATGAGCAGCTTCTCATACAGCTGCTTGCATTGTTCCCCATCCCTAGGAGATGGCAGGTCCTCCAAATGGCTGAAACAGTCTTAACATCATGCCTCTCCTGAAAGCACTGCCTGTATTTTCAGGCAGGGGCTGCTCCCTCCATTGCACAGCCCATGGACATATGAGGTCCCTTCATGATCCAGTTCAGACCACTAAACTGGCAGAAAAATACTTCTTTTTCCTGTTTTTTATTTGCTGCATTGTTTTTCTGCCAGTTCAATGTCTTGGCTTGCTGAAAGTACATGAAGGGCCATGAGTGTGCTATTAGTCCAGCTTACTCTAAACCGTCTGACATTGCTTTCCCATCATGATCTCTGTGCCTTTATTGTAAAGTGGATAGTACTTTTGGGTGCCTTGGGCAGCACACATGGTTACACTCACTTTGGCCATATCCCATCTAATGCAAAGAAATAGGATTCTTCATAGTTGCTGTGAGCTGTATGGAAATTAGGGGCCTAGATAACTTCCCACCCCTGAGTGCCAGCTGTGACTATGGAGAAAATGCACCCTATACACCAAGTACCACTTTCCTGTCCCCCTCCTCTGCACCAGGGCAGTGCACAGCCCTCTCTGTTGTGCTCTCAACAAAACCAGCTCAGCAAACAAACACAACTTTATATTTTTCTGTGCTTTTAGCCAGCTGGATTTGCTGATCTAGCTGCAAGGTATTTAGGTCACAAGCAACCCACAGACAAAAGGAGATTCCCTCCTCCTCCCACTTCTTCACTAAGAAACTGGGTCTCTTAAATGCCCAGCACTTCCCATCAGTGGCTCCTTTTGTTGTTGGCAGATTGTGTTTCAATCTGGTCTCCCCTCTCTCACACTCCCACAGACAGCACCATCCACCAGCCCCCATTTGTCAGCCTGTCACATCTGTGATCATCTCAGTGTGCTTTGTCACAATAATGCCAATGGTCATGCTGAGGCTTTGAAATGAAGGCCTACAAAATATTTGTGTCCCTTTCTCTGAAGGGAGCTGGTATTTTACTCTGTTGTCCTTGTCTTTGACGTGACACTATCGAGATTGATAGATCCATCAATTTGAATTGATCAGTTCATCCTGCTGGTCACTCCAGGACACTGTACTCATGTGTGCTTTGCTTTTTGAAACCATGAAACAGAGTGGGGTGTTGTGAAATGTCTTCGTTTTGGCTCTCAAGGGCTTAAGACAAACATTTATTTGAGTTTCAGGTTGCATGGGCTTGCATCCCCTTAAATCTCAGCCCCCACTTCAGCTGAATCCCCAACTTCAAAGCAAAACTTAGCTATTCCTTTCTTTTATGTCCAAACTTGCCATTTCATATAGCTTTGACAGAAGAAAGAATAATAAAAACAGACTTAGAAGAAAAAGCCTGCTGGAGCTCACTGCATCTGACCCTTCACTCTAGGGATGGAGATTAGATGGCAGGAGATACAAAGCAGTGATAAAGCAAGCTTGAACTCTGTGCTCCTCACATAACTGGGCATCAGTTGGATATGCACCGCTCCACTGGACAACCCCATTAATGTGATTTTAGAAAGAAATAAAACCAAGTTTGCCTGGATTTTGACCATTTTGCAAGGAAATGAGGTCCCAGCCTTTCTTGCAGCCCCACTTCCCACTGAACTCCTGCCAGCTCACCCATTTCCCAGCATCTCCTCCCTGCTGATCTGTCTCTCCCTGCAACCAACGCATAATGTGGAAACTGAGAAGATGCCCACAATGAACATGTCAGTGTGCAGAACACCTGTCAGCTTCCTTTGTTTTCCGGAAGAGAGATGCAGCAGGACTTCAAGGCATGCCTTTACTCCATTGACTGCACTGAGTCAATCAAACATTTGGCTTAGAAGGCTTGAGAAGTCCCATTTTGCGGGAATTTCCTACAGCATGTTCCTCCAAGTGTGAGGCTTTTTGGCTGAATGGACCAGTAGAGAATAGGCCAAGGGTTCCAAAATGTCACCTGCAGCACAGCCCCATCACTGCAGGCAAGAGGGATAATGCTCGTCCTCCTGCAGCTGCAGAGGGAGCAGGGACACTGAGCTCTTGGTGAGCCCTTGGTGAGCCTTAGCACCCCGGCAGGCGAGACCCAGCCTGGACAGGGCCAAAGAGCCAGGAGAGCCTCCAGCTCCAGTGTCTTGGCTGCCTTCCTGCCCCCATCGTTGCCTGTTTTTCTCTTGGGTGGCATGGTTTAGTGTGGGGTGTCCCTGCCCATGGCAGACAGGTTGGAACCAGATGATCCTGAGGTCCTTTCCAACCCTAACTATTCTATGATTCTATGATTCTATAAATCCATCCCCAGTGTCCATCTACTCTTGCATTTCAGTGATGGATTTGTCTTCACCCTCTGACCTTGTCAGAACAACACGGGGGATGAGTTTGGCCCCATGCTTTGAAATGACTCATGAATGAGCCAGTATCCCTCCATGGAAATGAGACTTGGCAGGTCTGTGCTAAGTGCTTGAAAGGTTCTGAGCCTGGAGGGACTGCAGGGCCCGAGGGAGCGCTAATGGGATGTAATCTAGCTTTCCGCTATTGTGCTGTCAGTACAGAGTCTAGCCAAGGCCTTGTGCTGGCTGCTGCTCAGTGGCCTGTATGAAATGAGCTGTTGGTCTGATTCCTGCCTCTCATGAGCGGCTGTCCAAAGCACAAGACCACCCAATGCTGATGGGCATTGCTGTAGGGAGCAGAGGCAGCAGGGATTGAGCAGTATGGGAAATTAACCCCATTCCTTTCAGGAGATGTTTCATTCCCACTGTTTAGTGCAGGGCACTCTTAGCACAACTGCAGTCAAATCTAAAACCTTCTCCTGTGGCTGCAGCAGGTTTCATAGAATCATAGAATGGTTTGGATTGGAAAGGACCTTCAAAGCTCATCTGCTCCAGTCCCCTGCAATGAGCAGGGACATCTTCAACTACATCAGGTTGCCCAGGATCACATCCAGCCTGGCTTTGAATGTGTCAGGGATGGTGCATCCACCACCTCTTTGGGCAACCTGTGCCAGTGTTTCACCACCCTCATTGTGAAGAATTTCTTCCTCACATCCAGCCTGAATCTCCCCTCTTTTAGTTTAAAAACATCATCCCTCATCCTACTGCAACAGGCACTGCTAAAAAGTCTCTCTCCATCTTTCCTGTAGCCCCCTTTTAAGTACTGAAAGGCCACAGTAAGGTCTCCCTGGAGTCTTCTCTTTGGATTGTATCCTCTGTGGAGGAATCTCACTCTGCCCTGCTGATCCCTGCTCTTTGGTTTGGTTTTCCTCTCTCCTGGCTCCAGGGATGCCAGGCTATGGTGTTATTTCATGTTTTCATTTGCCCTGTGTAGGGCACACATCCAGGCAGTGCTGGCTTGGCTCATCAGCCAGGAACGCAGGAGCTGCATTGCCTTTGCTCAGCACTTTTAGCTGGTGCCTGGTCAAACAGGTAGCACCAGAGTGTGCTGTAATTTGCAGTCTGAATATGAGTGGAAACAAACTACAGGGCTTCTTGCTGTAACTTTCCTGTAAATACAGGAAAACCACTGCCTTGCAGGATCGGTCTGTGCAGATTTGGGATTTGCGCCTTTCCTAGGCATCACTGCAAGGACTCAGGATATTGGGTTAGGCAGATACTGGGTTTGATCAGTTATGGTTGTTCCTGGGGTTATCCAAGGTGTGCATAACCCTGCATTTATCACCTGCAGGGGATAAATCAGCAGGACAGCAGAACTCTGAAGATTTGTTACTTCCAGAGATGTGGCATTGCAGCAAGACAGCAGTTCATGCTCAGGCTCCTTATTGAGACTTGAGTAGCAGGAAATCTCATGACAAAAAGCAGTGATTTTCCTCTTCACCTGGCACTAACCTTCCAGAGCTATTTGGAGAACGTATTTCACAGACCTTGTTTCTGACCAGAAACATCAGGTTCAAGAACCTAAAAGAGTGCTGTCCTTCTCCTGGGGCTGATTTTGGAAAGGAGCAGTTGGAAACGAGAAGGATCTAACTAACTAGTTGTAGCATTAGTGTAAGAGCGTCAGAACTGGGTGCCTGATGTGCTCTGACATCTTGGCGAGTAGTTAAGCCTCTGCACTCAAATGAGTAAGTAAGTGCACACACGCTGTTCTTGGGGTTATTGTGGAAATAAGCTTCTGAGGCACTTGGGTACTTCTGAATGGTAATGATGGAGCGTATAGATACCCAAGAGTATTAAATGATAATACTTCAGTGTAAGGCTTTCCCAGTGCTGTCTTCATTTGCAGTCTTAAATTAATCTTAAAAATACAGTGTGCAACAGGGAGATATTTTACTTTCCATGTTACTTCAGTGGTGTGCAAACAGAGGCAGGGGATCACTAAGAACTTAACCTTAAGTGTCTTACCCAAAGCACCACAATAGATCATTGACAGAGCTAAGTGCAAAGCTCAGTTTGGTGAGCATTAAGCCATCCGTTCAGCCTTAGTTCTTGTTAAAATGATTCCTGCTCCTGAAGATGTGAAACACTGAAAATTCCATCATGGCAAGCATTCCTTCTAGTCCCATCTTTTATTAGTTCCAGTGGGAACAGACCACACGCTGGTATGTGGATGTCAGTCAGCTTCTGATTTGTTAGCACTGTAATGACGAACTGTATGAATGAGCTGAGAGTCTCTTCTGGCCTGAGAAGGTGCAGAGTTGAACATTCAGGTGAGGCCCTGTGAGGCCAGGGTAATTGAAGCTCAGCAGCGGGGCCTGCAAGATTTGGGCAGTGGGTTGAGTTCCAGGCTCCCTGCATTTGTGACTGAGGAGCACACATGAGGGTCAGCGAACAATCAGCTGATTTCCAGGCTGGAGATGAAATAGCAGTCATTTTTGTGTGCCATGTTACAGACAGTGAGCTTCTTCCTGACTCAGTTCCCCCCTTGTTAGCATGGCTTGTTACCTGAAGCAAATTCAATAAGCAGTACATAAAATAGGGCTCACAGCATAAGCATTAGCTCAGAATTGAAGTGCTTGGAGATGACCCCAATGAGAGACGAAATAGAGGCCTTGAGAGGATTGTTCTGATGTGGCAGTTGCCATTTTTAGGTGACCCTAAGGCTCTACTGGTCAGAAAAAGGACTGAAAAATACCCATGGCCACCCAGGACACCCTCACATGTAGGGTTCTTCCCAGTAGTGCTAGGGATATAACTGAATGTTCTTAAGCCTTTTGTCTATGTTAAGTACCTGCTAGAGGCTGGAGAATGGACTGCAGATAGATGGTGAGCTACTAACAGCAGGGTTTGTATTGCAGAGGCAAGGCAGCCGCTGGGACTGAGTGAGCCCAACCCTGCAAGCAGCCACCATGCCCATTTCATTGCTCAGTGCCACTATAACCCCCATGCCCTGGGTGTTTTCTGCCTTCAATGGCTCTGTGTGCATAAACACATCTGAGCTCACTGCTCAGTGAAGAGAATGTTCTGGAGTTATCTCACCTGAACTTTCTGGGCATCTTGTTTTCTCAAATCCTTCCATCACCAATGGAGAAAGGATGACATCTTAGGAAGTCAACTCATTCCCTTCTAAGATACGAAGAGGATGAGATGATCACTGGAGGTCCCTTCCAGCTGAAATCCTCTTCTCTCCTCTTCTCTTCTCTTCTCTTCTCTTCTCTTCTCTTCTCTTCTCTTCTCTTCTCTTCTCTTCTCTTCTCTTCTCTTCTCTTCTCTTCTCTTCTCTTCTCTTCTCTTCTCTTCTCTTCTCTTCTCTTCTCTTCTCTTCTTCTTTCTCTTCTCTTCTCTCCTCTCCTCTCCTCTCCTCTCCTCTCCTCTCCTCTCCTCTCCTCTCCTCTCCTCTCCTCTTCTTCTCGTCTCTCGTCTCCTCTTCTCTCTTCTCTCTTCTCTCTTCTCTCTTCTCATTTACACATTATGCATGTTTACTTTCCCCTGGATGTGGCCAGGTAGTTGACAGTTGGTAGTGTACCACGGGTGACTCCTTTCCCTAGTGTGACCAGTTACTGAGCTGGGACTGGTTCTTGTTTCTTGCTGAAGTAATGTTAACAACGCTTCGAAAAGGTCCTCACAGTAGGAGCAACTTGTTAGTCTGGACCATAATCTGAACATGTTTTCCTGCCAGTATTTTCTTCCATCTTCTCATGACAGCCCCTTTAAGTCATGTCCCCACCATGTCTTGTTCCAAAGCAGATTTGGAAATGCCCCTCCTGTGCTCTTTTAGATGCTAGAGATGGTGTTTAGCCTTTGGGCTTTGCAGGTTGGCATTTCTGAAGGTTTCTTATTGTATGTGGTAACACAGTGATTCCATACCTAGTTTGTTTAAGAGGGAAAAATGTGCATGGCAAAGCAGAGAAAATAAACAACAGGAAACAATGCCAGAATTGTACCCACTGAAGAATGTAAAAAGTGCAGCAGTGAATCCCGTGCCAGATTGCTTCTATTCTTGTAAAAGTATCCAAGTTTGTTCTGGAGACCTGTTTCCTGCCACAGCAAAAGGACTTTTCCTTCTGTGAGCTTTAGAGAAGCAGTTTTTAATAGCTCATTACTAACTCCTGTGTCCACATCCAGTCCAAGATTCATGCTGCAAGAAGCCTGAGCGAAATTGCTATTGACCTGACTGAAACTGGAACGCTCAAGACCTCAAAGCTGGCCAACATGGGGAGTAAAGGCAAGATTATCAGTGGCAGCAGTGGGAGTCTTCTGTCATCAGGTAGGTCCTTTATCCTGTAACTGGAGAGACTATGGTGGGAAGGGCCATGGCCACGGTGTGATGGGGAGCTGCACTGCAGAAATGAAAGTCACTTCCCTTTAGCCTTTCTGTCTATCCAGGTGTCTGTCTCTCAGCACATTGCTCCACAAACAGCACAAGCAGCAGCCTCCCCTTCTCTCATTACCACCACTCATTTCCTCTTTGGCCCCAGGATGTCATCTCCAGTCTCTCACTTTTCAGCTGAGACCTCATCTGTCTTCACAGTTTCTACCATAATCACCCCTTGGCTTCCAGTTCACCCCTAGGCAGACATGTTTGTGAAGGAGTCCCCAGTCAGACAGTGGGAAGCTGAAGCTGGAAATTGCTGATGTCCCTCAGCAGTGTTGGGGCAGGGTGGCTTCTTCACAGAGTGCACATCTGCTTTGCTTCTCTATTGCTGAAATTTGGCTGAGGTCCCAGGCTCCAAAGGGCTATCCCCTAGCACTCTCTACCAAACTAGTAGGTTTCTTTTTGTGGCTAAGAGCACCTTCCTGTATGAGGAAGAAATAATCTGTGAAAGAAACCCCAAAGAAGTTGATACAGAGGAGAACTACTGCATAGAAGAAAAGGACCAGAAAAGGGAATTCAGGAGGTTTTATCTCTTTGATACTCTTACATCAGCCTGAACCAGGCAAGCTGTGTGTAAAACAGTGCTAAATGTCACTCCAGGAGCAAAGCAAGAATTGACAGTTTGCAAAGAGCTTGAAGCTGCTCAGGTGAGCAGCTCTTCAGGAGGGCAAGGTTGCTGGTATCCCTGTAATTAGCAGTTTCAGTCAATTAAATGCCTTCTGTTAAGCATCACATCAAGTTAGCAAAACTGTGTTGAGATGTGTAACAGTAGAGAATAACCACGCTTGACAAAGGGAAGAGTCTATCTAAGAACACCAGTGCTTTAAAACTGAACCCACACTGGTGTAGCCAATCAGCTTTGCACCACTGTATCCTTTCTGTCTCTTAAAACCCACACTTTCCTGCTTGGAAAATACCCAGCAAGGGGTTAAAAATGTGCAGTGTTTACAGAGCTCCAAGCAGCCTGCTGTGCCATTCCTTGCCTTGCCTGCAAACAGAGATGCCTTTCTGCTCCTCAGTCTTCCTGACAAAGTACACAATCCACTGTCTGTGCCTCCCATCACTCAGGGAGCTGCAGTAGCTGAGAGCTCCCAGACCGGTGTCAGGTTTTCAGAGCTCTTTCTTTGTTTGGCATTTTTTCCAGCTCTCCTGCTGGAAAGTAAATAACGTGAAGTGCCCCAAGGAAGTTCTTTAGGTCTTTTCAAGACTGAAGCCTCCTGGGCACCGTTCCTTAGTTTGTGAGAGCTACTTGGTAGTAATCCTGTTTTCATGTTGATATGCTGACTTTTGGCCTTCATGGAAAGAAGCATGGGGGTTTGCTTCTGCTCTCACACCCAGAGAGAGCACTAGCCAGGTGAAAGCCAGCAGAAAATTAGGCCCAGGAAAGCTTCAGCACCTCTCGGGGTTATGTAGATGGAAATCCCACACTGGAAGCTGCTCATGCTTTGATTTCTGCCTTGTTTTTTGCTCCCTTCTGTCTGAGCATGGGGTTTGTAGACTCAGCAGAGCTGCAGTAGTAGACCCATGCAGAGTACATTCACCAGGTGAGTCATTTCTTCAGGCCTGGGTAGGTGGATCTGTCTACCTGGGGGCCCGTGCAGGGCTATGTGAACCTCTGTTTCAGTGCTGCTGGTGGGCCAGGAGCACAGCTCCCTCCAGATCCCTGTGTTCAGACCTGCCTTTTATATCCTACTAGCTGTGAAGTCAGGGCTCTCCCCAAAACATTAAGGAGAGCTGTGGGGTTTGCTGTGTGCCTTCCAGCAGCTGTGAGCAGCTGCCAGGAAGTAGAGAGAGAAGACATCTGACAAAGATTCCAGACAGATACCATAGAATTGGAGACTCTGGACTGCTTCCAGTCACCCTCTGCTCCAAAAGCCCCTTCCTTCATCCCAGCTGGCAGAGGTAACCTAGCCCTGTCCCACTGCATGGGAGGGGCCATTCACTGCCTGTCCCACTGGGCACAGTCACTGGCTTCATCCCAACCTTTGCATTTCCTCCCATTGTGCCAGAGATTATCAGCATACAGTCACAACAATGATGGGTTATCGTGGTCCAGCCTGCGCGCTGGAGAGAATAAGTGCAAATGATTAAGTGGCCACAGTAGATTTCCAGGCTATAAATACCCTGAGTGACTTGCAATCACATGGGCAGGACTGAATGTTTGCCCCCACTTCCCTACTGTTCTCAGTCCTTTTTTTTCCTGGAAATTACTTGTAGTCATTTCCTCTCAGCATCTCAGTCCTCCTCCCTGGAGGGTCTGTCAGCACCATGAGGAGTGTGCTGAAACTGGCATGGGTTTGGAGCAAGGCTGCAAGGAAAAATCTGTTGTGGCTGTCACACTGTCTGGTGAAGATCCTGCAGTGCAGTGTGAGGCACTCACTGCCCCACATCACTTACAGCCTCAAGACACAGCGGGGGAAGATGGAATCTTACACTGGGACAGTGGTCACAGCAGTTTAGGGCCAAAGCCTGAACTCCTCCATGCTTCTCAGTCTCTGTCCAGTGCAGAGTTGTAATTGTGATAACCGGTGCTCCCAGGTCCATTTCTGACAAGCTGACTCCTTAACTTCTGTCCTCATTTTGGCTTTGAAGGGGCCTCCCAGAACAGTGATTTAGCTCAGGGATCTGCTCAGGACCTCTGGGACATCCCTGGGCATCTGGGGCAAGGTTTGCCCCTGAATAAAAGCTCTGCTTTCACAGTGGCAGGAGCCCTCATCAGAGATAACTATCAGAACAAAATCAAGTCAGGCCTAAGGTGGGTTTTTCCTTTGGAGCAGTCTGTGCCATAAGAACTCTGGAGGGCTCCTGGCTAGTGATGAGCCCCTCTGTCACTGTTGTTCTGAACACCAGCCTACCTTCTTCATCTCAGAGATGCCACAGAGGAACACCTCTGCTTCAGCTCTGCAACCGCGCTCAAGCATCCTCTGGCTCAGTGACTCCCATTCCTTCAGCAGCCATGGAGGTTTCCTGCTCAGGGACCTGTTTACATGTGAAATGCCACAACAGAGCCCAGGCAGCCGGTTCTTCATCCAGAGGGGTTGTATCCCAGCTGGATCACCTGGTGGGTGCCAGAGCGGATGAACAGCCCTTGCATGGCCCATGAGCATGGAGGGCCATGAAGACAAGTCTCTCACAGGATATGTGAGTGCATCCTGTGTGGAGCAGCTCCAGCTGGAGGATATCCTATGTGTCGGGCCAAGACTAGAGATAGCAGCTGTCTGAGGTTACTGGCTGTTGTGTGCTGACATCCTGGCTTGGTGAGTCAGCCCAGGCTCTGGCACTGAGCAAGCGTGGGGGGACCTTTCCTCTCTGCTCAGGGGACAGCCATGCACAGGGGACATCAGCCAAGTGCCAGCAAGCCGGAGCCAGCAGCCAGATGTAGCGTGAAGCATTTGCCATATTTAGATATGTTTTTCCTGGAGAGGGAGGCTCATAAAATGAGGAATAGAATCATAGAATCAGCTGGGTTGGAAAAGAACTTCAAGATCATCAAGTCCAACCATTACCTCAGCGCTGCCAAAGCCACCACTAACCCATGTCACTGGGGGCCTCATCTACACAGTTTGTGAACACTTCCAGGGACAGTGACTCCACCACTGCCCTGGGAAGCCTGTTCCAATGCCTGACAATCCTTTCAGTGAAGAAACTTTTCCTAATAGAATAGATGCGTGGATGCTTTTGCCTTGCTGCTGCTCAGCCACCTTGTTGCGTCTGATAGGACAAGAGGAAATGGCCTCAAGTTGCGCCAGGGGAGGTTTAGACTGGATATTAGAGCCTTGGCTGCCTCTGCTCTTCAGCATTCCATCTATCCTCCCTGCTTGTTTTCATCCTTCTCACGTATACCTTTTCCAAGCTGACATCACTGTGCTACAATAGGTGGAGGAAATAGGGACAACCAGTGAGTCACTGGTAGGGTTTTCCTCTCCAAACAGTGGTTCATATTGGTGGCCTCATCCCTTTGACAAGCTTTGAGGCAAAGCTTTACCAAGTGACACCTGGTAGCCAGGGCCCCCTGCAGATCTGCACAGGCACAGCACATTGCTTTGGTCAGATCTTTTGGAGTGTGACTCACTTCATGTTCCCATCAACATCACCAAGACTGTCCTGACCTCAACAGTATTGGAGTGATCAGAAACCAGCACATTAGCACTGGTGAAGAACCTCAGCCGTTCATTCTGCCGAGTTGGACAAGGGAGGACCATGCTCTCCCTCCATTTCACAGCTCATGTTCTCCTGACTGTCAGTGGATGGAGAAAGAGCCCAGAGACGCCAAGTGGGTATTAGAAGACAAGCAGTGTATCCACAGACTAATAGGGTATTAAGTGAATGTTCAGGTCACTGAGCCCCATGTCCCACCCTGTATGGAAAGGAGGAAAGAGAATGTACAATTAACTTGGCTTTGAAAATAAACCAGTAACATCATCTATAAAACCAGCACCAGCTCAGCAGGTTCCTGCTGAGGGAAGGTCCTGTGCTTGCTACCTGGTGTGTTTTCACAACCCTTTTTCTTTTAGGGACATCAAATGGTTCTGCAGAAGTTTGTGTTAAAATGCAGTTTGGTAAATCTTTGCACAGCAAATGGGAAGGAGGCTCAATAATAATTGTCACAGAAAGGTTCAAAAGCCATGCAGAGAAATTGCATATTTTAGCAACATTTCTCCTGCATCAGGAATCAGCATTAATTGTAGGAGATAAAATACCTGAGAAAGCCTCCCAGTCAACCATCTCTGTTGCAGCAGGAGTCTCTCATGTTAGGACTGATCTTTCAGGACTGGTTTTTCTCTGTTGATGATCCCCTTTGGAAGACGCTGGGCAGCCATGACTCAGTGAGCATCATATTTAATAGGGCTGATTTAAGGTAGTATTTGCTTGATTGGTTTGGTTTGTGCTGGTCTTTGATTATTTCTCTGGTTGTTTTTATGGCCTTTTGATTTGTTCTGACATTTTCGGGTCAGTTGCCACTGGCTTTAGAAGTGGGTCTGTGGTCACAACCTTGCTGGAGGCTGGATTAATACATATTTATAACTAAAGAGCCTCTAATGGAAGCTGTAGGCAGCCCAGCAATATAAAGCACTATTCTCTGCTCACTTACAAGCATCTCACAGCGGTGTGAGTCTCTTGACTGATCAGGTCTCCCATTTGCTTTTCACCTGTGAGAACAAGCAGAGAATCCAACACGTAGAAATCAACAGTACACCCCAAAATAGTTCAGCTTTTAAAGAAAAGGTAATATATTAAGAAACCCCAAACAGACAGAACAGTTTCTGAAGGAGAAACTTCAGGAAGGTCTGAAGAACTCCTGCAGTATGCCCAAGAGATTGTCCAGATCAGCTACGGTCAAGCTAAAAAACTTCAGGATCACAAGCCATGAACTGAGTGCCTTTGAACCCTCACTGCACTAGAAGAGTTTGTGATGCAAAGACACACTTGGAAAAGGTCAATTTGAACTGGTTTACTGGTGGTTCTGGCAGTCTTGGGGTAATGGTTGGACTTAGTGATCTTAAAGGTCTTTTCCAACCTATCTGATTCTATGATTAATGCCAAGTAGGAGTTGAGTTTGATTTCAGCAGTAATCCCAATGCTTAACTCAGAATGTGATGAGAGCTTCCAGATCTCCCCAGTTCCTTGCTTTCTGGAAGGGGTAAAAAGATGGTCAGATGTGCTCTCAATGGACACTGCCACCAAACACTGGTTGAGACCAATGTGGATCTCACACAGGGTAAGCACAGCTGGAGCAGATGCTGTGAACTGTCTGTGCTTGATTTGGGTCCGGACCAGCTCCGCCAGAAGCCATTTGTTTCCTTCTTGTCAGCATACCCTGGCTCAGTGCAGGCATCTGGCCAGGGTTTGGGCTATTCATATGCTTTTAAATGTTTCAGCATCTCTGTAGCTGCTGTGGCAACCCACAGTGCAAATACGAACAGCTTTTAAAAATAAACCTGGGGCCGGTGTGGAGCTAGGGAGCAGAGAGGAAGGGAAGGGGAACAGCAGTTGAAAGGGAAACGTAAGTCATTAAAGCTGTCATAAATGAAAAGAAGAAGGGGTGAAACATCTGTTGGAGTCATGAGCAAGTTTTTACCAGGACTCAGCAGTTTTTTGGCAATTCAGTAAAGAAATTGAGCAGTTCAGCTTTCACTAGTAACAGCTCACCAGGGTTACCATTAAGAATTACTAAATGCTAGAGAGCATTTGCCAGTGCAAACACAAGGCTTCTATAGAAGATCCCATCAAGTTCTTGCAGCACAGATGTGTTGGCAGAATTGAATTGTTTGCTTTGAGAAAGCAAACCCAAATGAAATGAGGAGGACTACAACAGTTAAAGGAGCATCTTACCATGAGGTTGTCCTCCTTTGTCTGATGACACTCAACCTTTCAAAAGCCCTTTGCTCACACCCTCCTCTCCAGGACAGCCATATAAAAGGTGTGAGGAAGAGGGGTGGTGTTTCACAGTTAAGTGCCAGCTGTCTTCCTCTATGAAAACTGCAGAAAATAGTGGTGGAAGAGATCTGTGAGATCCTCAGCTCCCTCTGGGCCAATGCAGAACTGTTTCATGGCACTGTTTGCCTCAGTCCTCTTTCAGTTTAACGGTCTGCTGGAATAGCAGCAATGAAAGATGAAGCTGAAAGCACAAGTTTCACTTTGTTTTGGTGCCAAAACAAATGCATTTAAATGCATTCAGCTAGGTTCCTTCCAGAGTTCCATGAAATGCCAGCAACCAGCCTCCTCCAGCATTTTCAATGTACGCTTGGAGGCCAAAGCAATTCTATGATGCTGTGATTCTGTGCCACCCCATGGAAGACATCTCAGACACCTTAGATCACCTGTATACTTCAGTTCAAGACCCACTATGGAGTTTATTAAAAAGGGTTAAGATGTAGACTTAGGTAGAGCACCAGAGCTGTGTGGGGCAGAGCTTTAGCATGGAGCTGTAGCTCTCAGTGTTGCTGTGGACAGACATGGCACCATACTGCTGAATTCACCACAGGTACCAGAACTCAGCTTTCCATAAAGCTGAGGTGGATGCTTGGAACTCTAGTTATAGCTTACCAACTGCTGGTAATAGAAGTGATAAGTGATGTAGAGATTGTGTTTACCCCTTCTTGAGCTTGCTTTTCATCTCACAGAATGGCCATACCCTTCATGTTCTTAATCTGTGGCCAAGAGGTATATCAGCTGCTCAAGCTGGGGACCCAAAAATGGATTCAAGCAACATTGCTTCTCTGAGATGCTAGATCTGGGATAGCAATTGATGCACCATCCCAAACCAAAATAACATGAGAAACACCATCAGTAAGTTCCTGTAAAGAGCTGAAGTTACAAATGCTGCCATTGAGCAACCAAGTCTGACTTAATGCATGGACTTACTTCAGTGGAAGTTGCTGGGTAATTGCTACTTGAAAAGTCAAGCCATTTGGACATTTATTGGTAAATATCTTGACCTATGCCTTCACAAGAACCAGCTACTGTCCCCAAGGGACCTGTAGGTTATTGTTGTTTGGTGTGTTTTACAGGAACCCTGGTAGGTAATTTTGTTCCATTACATTTTCCACACAGAACAGGCACTATAAGTGGATCTAATTAAATGTTTTCTACAAGGAAAACTGCAGTTCTTAAGAAGTAGCTTTATTGTCAAATGGTTTCTCCTAAGCTTAATTTCCCAAAAATGCACCTCCATGGATCCATAAACTATGCTGTTATTTTGTTATTTGCCATTGGGAACCTGCATGGGAATGGTATAATTTTCTTTCTTAGGATCCTTACATGAATGATTGTGTTGCTTTTATTTTTCCAGATAATGATTACAAGTGTCTTTGTGTGCCCCACTGCCCAATCCCTGTCTGATAGCTTAAACGTTAAGAATTTGCCATAATCAAACATGACTGGGTAACACCTGCTTCATGTCATAGTCATTCCCCCTTGGAAGGACTGCATCCAGGCTTTGGTAAAATTACAAGTGCTCCAAATGTGTATTCTGCTGTCAGCTGGCCTAATGAAATCATTGTTATTGACAGGCTCCCAAGAGTCAGACAGCTCTCAATCTGCCAAGAAAGACATGTTGGCTGCACTGAAATCCAGGCAAGAAGCTTTGGAAGAGACACTGCGCCAGCGCTTGGAAGAGCTGAAGAAGCTCTGTCTCCGGGAAGCGGTAGGCAATGGACATTTTATACCTGTAACGCTTTGTCGCTTGCATTGTTATAGCATGCTCCTTGTTTGGAGGTGGTGTGGAGTCAGGAGAAGAGATTCCTTCCATAGTCACCTCTTATAAGGCCCATTGTACAAAGACCTAAGGAAGGTCCAGATGTTTCAACTCCATATTGCAGTGGCACAGGATGTTTGCCCCCCAGAGAAGTGGACCCCATGTCAGCTAAGTAGCCCATTGGACTGGGGCTAGGAGAGTGCTCCATGCCTGCTGTTTGAAATAGTGTTTAAATGCATTCAGCCAGGCTTCTTATTGACTTTGGTGGGAACATGCAGCTACCTAAATGGCATAGGAAAGGCTGTCCTCCACACTGGTAATCACTTCTCAAATGCTTTTGGCTTCATCAGCAAAAAAAAAAGACTCAACAGAACAGGCTGATGCACTTTCTTCTTGAAGCAAGCCTGACCTTACTTGCTTTTCTTCTCCCAACACATTTCTACATACAGCACACAAGGTCTTGTCTGCTTCATGTAGACTCCCTTCATCCAATAAACTCTGGCACTGGTGAGAGGAATTGCAGTGTAGCGGCAGACCTTGTGAACTGGAACCACTGTAGTGATCCCATGACGTGGAGGACAGCTCAGGAACTCATAACCTTCCCACTCGCTTGCCAGTTCATTCTTGGCGCACACAGGAGACCAGCTTAGAGATCAGTTTTATGTCTGGGGAAGTCACAACGCTGCTGCAGCTGCACATGGAGATCAGCAGCAGTGTACTCTTGGGTCATTCATCAGTCCTCCCTTGTTTACCAGGCCTGAAAATGTGACTTTAATAACAAATGGTGATGTGTAACACAAGAGGAAGCTGGCTGCAGACAGTGGCACTGAGATCTTCCAGTTGTTCCTTAATACGTGATGTGTATCTTGCCTTTGACAAAAATGGGGGCAGTAGGTCACTGATTCAGCTGTTGTTGCACTTTGTTTCGATTGGTCTATAGTTTTAACACCAAGATTAAGCTGTGAAAAAACACCTCTCAACAAAGAAGGCTCTGCTGCCTCTGTTCCTATCCGTTACTACACACAGGCAATCCTTTCCCACCTGGGAAGTCCTGGTTGACTTCAGCAAACAACTGGTGCTGATACAGGTCACAGGAACAGATTCAGTCTCCTAAGTCCATTGAGTACAGAGCCAAGATCATCTGCAGGAAGCAGTCAGGTGCTCTTCAGGGGCTGATGGACAAGGTCTCGAGGTCTCTACTTGGCCTGGAGGAATTTATCACCCTAAGCTAACTCTGCCTGACTGCCAATGATTAATGCCTTGCATCAGCAGCATGCAGATGTGCTTCTGCTGTAGTTGCAGGAGCTCACAGCCCAGTGCCTTTACTTCAAACCCAGGCACTTTGCAACAGCTCCCGCTGGGGCATGGAGCTGCTGGTAGGGAGCAATATCTCCTTCATGTGCTGCAGCAAGGCTGGCCAGAGCCCGTCTGTCAGCACCTTAAGAGCTGGTAGAAAGTGTTGGTGCTTTCTGTAGATGATCCAAGAGAGGCAGTTGATGGACACATGGAATCTGACCCTGTCTTAACAACCCTACAGCTCATCAGCAGCCTGTAGTTGGAAGTATTTCTTCTCAGGCTGCCCTTCGTGCTTTCTGCTTTGGCACAGGAGTGGCCAAAGCAGAGGGAGAAGACTGAAAACCAGGAGATAAAAAAAGAGTTAAAAGTGGGGACATAATCAAATCAGCATGGCCAGAGCCATTCCTAACAGTGGCATCAGGTTACTCCAGGCCATCACTACTCCAGTTACTTATTCATTTAGATTATATTTCAGGACCATGCCTGCAAATACTTTTCAGCTTCTGGAGGCAGCATGGTAGCCCACATTCATTTTGTTCTGCTCCACTCTTGGGCATTCTACAGAAGATATTAACTCTTTCCCCACTGCTTCATAGGAAGTTAGGGGTTATAAAGAAAACAGCCTTGTTTCCCTCGGGAAAGGATACAGGAATCTGTGTTTGGATGCTGTGCTTAGAGCCACATCTCACTAGAAGGAATACACTTTGGAAGAGAAGCTGAAATAACTCCACAGGGAGAAAGCAGAATGGGACTGAGACACTGCAACTGTGCCTCCTGCAATAGGGGGATGTGCTCCTCAGCACAGAGCTGTTCTGCAAACCCATTTTTGCAGGGAATTGCTGAAAGGAGGGATTTGAAAAGGCCAGGTCCTTGTTTCTGAGTGACCTGAAAAGAACAGAAAGAAAAACCCCATTAGGGAGCTGGGGAGAGGCCGGGGCAGGCAGGGACCTGAGCTGCACAGCACTCGCATTAAGGTCAGCTGCTGTTCTTCGGGATTCAGATGATTTAGGTTCCCCTGCCAGCTGGATCCTCTCAAGGCTGATGCTAAGGAACACAAAAGCCTTTTGTCCTTCATGGGGAGACTTTTGAGTACAAGGAGGCTCCTGCCTTTTTCTGTAGGCATTTGAATGCCTTCAATTCAGATATGTGTGGCTGTATTGTGTAGTCCAGGGGAAAAAACCCACACCATTAACATCAGTAGTGGTGCTCCCTGCTTCCTGTGCTCCAGATATTGCTCAGTTCTAGGGGCTTTGCTTCAGATTTTGAACAAATCTTTAGAAATAACCCCATCAGTCTGACAAAGCATCAGCTAATACTGCTCCAAAGCCGCCCATGAGGTCACTGGGGTTTGGAAGGGGCTCTGATACATGAAGTGTTATCAGATAGGTAATGAGGTACCAGGCACTGCTTTTGGTGACCCTTTTCAGTGCATTCCTCTCAGACACATCATGAATCAGGTGGGAATGTTTTGCTGTGCAGGTCATAACCTGCACGGCTGTTGCTGTTGTGGCTTTCTGACTCAGCAGACCTGCATCCTGCATGAGGGCTCTTAGATCTGCTCACTCCCCTCTCAGAAGCTCTTTCCTGCTCACCCTGAGGCAGTCTGTTCAGCCTCAGGCCCCAGCCGCCCTAAGGATGGGCACCAACTACAGACCTACCCTGGGCAGGCCACAAGAATAATCTGTATTCATTCATTCATTCATTCACTCACAGGCTAAAGAAAAGTTCCCCACCCTCAGTGTCAGGTTCTGGGATGAGTTTGCAGGGCCGGGTGCTCTCCTCTATGTTTATCAGCTCGCTGAACTGGATGTGTTGTTAATGAACGCCTGTCATTTTACAGTCACGATTGAAGAGCCGGTGTTGTGCTCTGCTCTGCTGCAGGACTTCCCACACCCCTAACAGCATTTTCTGCTTACAGGAGCTCACAGGAAAGCTGCCACGAGAATACCCCCTGGATCCTGGGGAGGAGCCGCCTATTGTAAGGAGAAGAATAGGAACTGCCTTTAAACTGGATGAGCAGAAGATCCTGCCTAAGGGAGAGGTGAGGCTGTGCCCTTCCCTTCCAGCCCTGTGTCCCCACCTCAGGTCTCTAAGATATCCACCACGCATCACATAGGAAGAATCAGTCCTATAGTCATAGTTACATTAAACGACTGTAGTTGGTCATAGTGCCTTTATATATATATAATCAGATATAAAGCAGGGAAAGCAGTGAGAGTTGGTGGCCTTAGTTCAGGCTGAAAGGTGAAATCCTCAAGGTTCAGCTCTGGCTTTGCTAGAGGTAACAAATAGCCTGGGTGAACAACAGGACCATGACAGTCCAAGAGCTCTGGTGATCAAGTGCAGTGACTCGTGTGAGTAGGGAGCACACCCTTAAGCCATCTGAGCCCTGCCGCTTCCCTGAGTTATTGCAAACAGCCACTTGCTCTCTGCTTCAGCAGCAATCTGAATTCACGTCTCCCCTAAGCAGGGAGAAAAGCATCACTGTTATCCATCTTAGCCCTGCAACAGCAAGATGAAAGCATTTTGGTCCCCAGTCCTTAAACAAAAGAGCCTTCATCCCTACCTATGGGGAACTGGAATTATGTTTTCCCAAGTTTGCCAGGGAGTGTTTGTTCTCTTCCCTTGCTCCCACAACGTGCTGGGTCAGTGCCCTGAACCATGGCTGTGAAAACAGGCCTGCAGCAGCTGTAAGGCGGGACCGGATCCACAGAAAAGCTATTGTCTTCAGAGGCGCATTTGTCTCAAGACACTTGTGTATATTCCAGGCTTGAGTTTCCCTTTTATTTTTGTAAGAGGAGAGACTGGAGCTGTGTGACTGCGTGGTTTAGGGCTCGGCTCAGGCAGGGAATTAACTGTTTGTCGTTTCATTGGCATTTTCCTGCTGCTGGAAAAATAAACAGCTGGAGCTCTTTAGTTGTGTTCTCAATGGAGCCTGGGAGAGGAATTCCAACACTCAGATATTCATGAACCAACACATTTAATTAAGCTTTTCAAAGGGAAAGCACGGCTTAGCCGAGTTATTCCTGAAACCCCTGCAGTCTGCTGGCTGCTCAGTTAGAATCTGATCTCCAGCTTCCCCACATCTTATTGCTACAGGGCAGCTTTTGGGGCCAGCAGGTGAGGAATCTCCTTACTCCAGTGGCAAGGTTAGGTGGGGAGAGCAGGAAGGTAAAGCAGCTTCTCCTCACTGCAGGCACTCTGGCAGCAGCAATCCAAACACGCTGATTCAGCTTTTCTCTGCCTCCCTTTTCATCTGTCAAACTTGAAGACCCTGTTGAAAACCATAAATTTCTCTTCTTGAGGAATGAGCTCTGTTTATTTGGCTGCCATTTTGAGAGCATTTAGAGAGGCCAGCGGTGATTTTCAGGTGCTTTTCAGCAAATGCAAACATTAGAAACTCCATTTAAAACCAAAGGTGAAATACTCCCTCAGGCACATAAATTCAGGACTGATATTACCAACTGTGACAAGGACCTGAAGGGAGGCCCTTCCATCTGAAGGCAGATGATAGCTCTCATTTTCAGAGGCTTTATTTATAGGGGCCTCACTGGAAGAAAATAAACAGCTATGGCCCAGAGGAAAATGAGTATGTTTTTTCTAAGATGTACTGAATGATTTAGAACTGAATCTGTGAAGGTCTGAAATGACAGCTCACATCAAGCTCACCGTACCTTTACTAAGAGCTTTGGCAGAGTAAGACTTGCACAGATGGGTCTTATTGTATTTCTTGGTAATCGCCTCTACCTGGTCCATAATTCCTGGTTCCGGGAAGGATTTTACCAGAAGACAGCAAATCAGGTTTCAGGCCTTAAAACTCCGTGGTGTTAAATTCACTTTTAATAAATTGGCACTAACAGAGCTTAGAAACCCCTCAAAGCAAAAAGGGATCTGTTAAAATGATGAGGGGTGGGTTCAGTGTTCAGTAGAATGAGGGAAATGATCATTATGGGTTTAAGGCAGTGCTGACTCACCACGGCAGCAAAGGGATAAAGCCCAGAATAAAAACTTGAGAGAACAACTTCAGTCTGATCAAATCCCACAGCTCTTGCTGCATACTCTGCTGCTGGACAAAAAGAAAGGGGTTGAATTTGCATAACAGGATCTCCATGAATACACATCCATCAGCACTTGCCATCTGAACTCCCACCATTCACTGACAGTAAAAAAAGCTTGTCCTTTTTTCCCCCTCATTTGCAATGTGCTGTGTTCCCCTTCCTAGCAGACTAACAGCAGAAACTCCATCGAGCTGGGGAAGGAAGCCAAATCCATTGCAGATTAGCAGGGATCTTTGGAGCTCACAGCTTGAAGTCCCCGTGCAAACCAGGACGCTCTGTATTGGTTTCTGCATTGGCATAGATTGGCCTAAATCCCTTGGCTTTGGAGGATAACTAAAAACCAGTAGGTAGCTTCCAGGGTACCCCTGGCTGCACTTAAAAACTCAGCTGAGACACTGCAAGGGCTAATGTTGGGGGAACTAGTCATGTTTGGCACAGAGGAAGCTTGCTGTTACACACTGCTCGCTCTGAAATCACCCTCCTGGCTTGTACCTTGAGGACAGTTTTCTGGTGCAATGAGTTGCAGGAGCTCATACTATCCCCTGGAATTTGACAGCCATAGGCCAGGGAGGAGTTATGCCATCTTTGGCTTCTTTACCCCAAAGAGTTTGGTGAATGCCAAGCAAACCTGTCAAGGAGGTTAAAGCTGTAGTTTCGCATCAGCATGTAGCATTGATTTCAAATGGGACTCAGATTTGGAGACAGGAAACAGGGAGGGGTGGATAAGGAGGCAGGGGTCACCCATAGAGGGATGTAACAGGATGAATGTGTCAGTAGTAGAGCTAGGCCATATTGAACTGCATGAAAATCCAAACAGCACATCAGGGCTAGGGCTGAAGCACACACATTCTTCTTGCATGGGTCATCACTTCCACCAGCTGTGCTCCAGACACTCATGTGAGCAGATGAAGGTGAGGTGGGCATGCTCAGGGAGGCCCTGAGGTGAGGGGAGCAGCATGACTATGGATGCTTTGCTGATGGAGAGCCTTAGTTGGAGGCCATGGCAAGGTTCAGGGAGAGCTTCCCCATAGCTGTGCTGGGAGAGTTTGATGGCAGCCAAAATCCACTTACCTTTCCCCAGGAGGCAGAGCTGGAGCGCCTGGAGAGGGAGTTTGCCATTCAGTCCCAGATCACGGAGGCTGCTCGGCGCCTGGCCAGTGACCCAAACGTCAGCAAGAAGCTGAAGAAGCAGAGGAAGACATCCTACCTGAACGCACTGAAGAAGCTGCAGGAGATCGAGAACGCCATCAATGAGTATCGCATCAAGTCTGGGAAGAAGCCAACCCAGAGAGCCTCCCTGATCATAGATGGTAAGTGGGACAGCACCCACGGCATCACAGAAGGGTCTGTGGAGGGCAGGGAGCAAAATCTTTGCTTTGAGGGACAGATCATAGAATCACAGAATGGTTTGAGTTGGAAAGGACCTTAAGATCATCCAGTTCCAACCCCTTGCCATGGGCAGGGATGCCTCACACTAGACCATGTCACCCAAGGCTCTGTCTAATTCTGTCTTGAATGCTGCAAGGATGGAGCATTTACCACTTCTTTGGGCAACCCATTCCAGTGTCTCACCACCCTCACAGTAAAGAACTTCTTCCTGATATCAAACCTGAACTTCCCCTGATTAAGTTTAAACCCCTTGTACCTATCCCTACAGTCCCTGATGAAGAGTCTCTCTCCAGCACCCATGTAGCCCCCTTCAGACACTGGAAGCTGCTGTGAGGTCTCCACTCAGCCTTCTCTTCTCCAGGATAAACAGCCCCAACCTCCTGTCTTCATACAGGAGGTGCTCCAGCCCCTGATCATCCTCGTGGCCCTCCTCCATCCCTCCTCTTCCTTCTCCTGTCTGGAGGACTCTGCAGGTGCTGTCCTCTCCCATCCTGCATGCTGTGCACTGGGGATGTGCTGGCTCACAGCACAAGGAGCAGTGTCATGCTGCAGAGTACAAGCCTGCCAGGAAAGCAGACTGTGAGCCCTTTGTTCACCTATAACATCACTGTGTTAATGTCTCCTCCAGAGTGGTGCTGTACAAATACAATCAATGTTCACAGATTGGGGTGAGCTGTCTAGCTGAAAGGCATCTGTACAATCAAAGTGTGGCAGTGTCATTGCTGTGTTCAAATGCTTTTTTTTCCTTTCTAATTTTTTCTTTACAATGGAATTCTCAGGGCACTTTATGGATTACTGGGTTGTTGATTGGTTTTTCATGCAATCCATTAACTTGCTGCTGTGGTTCTTTCTCCCTTGCTGATTTTGCCCTTTCCCTTTGACTTGCAGAGCTTTTCTCTGTGCCTCTGTAGCAGGAACTGAGATTAGAGCTGCTGTATTTGTGACCTGGGTACCAAGTTACACCGCAGTCAGGGATAAAAGGCAGCCAGGAGGACACGGGATGGGGGAGGCAGCTCAGTGTGTGCGTGCCAAGGATATGAGAGCTGCTCCTGCTGCTACAGAGGATGCTCAGAAAGCATTTCCCTGAATTACACAAAACTAGTACCTAGTGTGAGCCTTTACTTAGCAACAGGATGATCATTTTAAGAAGGTGGGGATCAAACCCAGAGTCCTTAAGGCCCGAGATACAAATCTTTCCAATGGCACCATGCTATCTTGCATCCTCTGGGGATCTCAGCTCTCCCTTGTGACTCAGTCTTAATCTCCATTAATTGACAAGAGTTAGCAGCTCCCTGAAAGGCAGCCTGCTAGTGAGAGGCCTGGCCTGCAGCTCTGCTCTCGGGGACTGAGAGTGCTGAGTCAGTTGTTCATAGGAATCTTGCCCCTCAGCTATGGGAAGAGGAAGACATGGGTGGCTGCTTAAGGCTCAGACTCAGTGGGCAAAGATCACACTGCAGTTCAGTAGTCACAGTGATTCTCGGGCTTGGGATTGGGCTGGAAGGGACCTTGAAGCTCTTCCAGTTCCAACCCCCTGCCACAGACAGGGACACCTTCCACTAGAGCAGGTTGCTCCAAGCCCTTGTGTCCAACCTGGCCTTGAACACTGCCAGGGATGGGGCAGCCGCAGCTTCTCCGGGCACCCTGTGCCAGCACCTCAGCACCCTCACAGGGAAGAGCATCTGCCTAAGAGCTCATCTCAATCTCCCATCTGACCATCTAATATCCAATATTTCCTAATGTGACCATCTTTATATTTTCTTCCCTTCAGAAGGAAACATTGCCAGTGAAGACAGCTCCCTCTCAGACGCCCTTGTTCTCGAGGATGGTACGTTTCTGCTGTATGTTCTAGAGGGCAGGAAGGAAAAAGGGAGGGATGTGTGAGCTCCTGATTGACACTCGAAAGGAGGAACTGTTCTGTATAACAATCCATGCAAAAATCCCAGTATCAAAAGCCACTTGGCTTCCCCCGACTCCACCTTGTAGCCAGACACCAGGCCTGGAGCAGTGAATATTGCTGCTGAATTGAATCTGAATTCTTTCAGAAGACAGTCCCAGAATCTCCCTTATTTACTCTTAATGTTGCAGTTGGTTTAATGCATCACACTGCACAATCTTGTTGGGCATTCTTTCCCAAAATGGGAATGCCAGCTGGTGCACTACTAACAGCTGGGTCTTCAAGTTGCTCCTGAGCGCACCCAGGGGAAGCAGGGTGAGGAAGCAGGTTCAGGTATTGTGCTGCCATTGCAGGTATCACACAGCCATCACCTCTCTCCCTTCTTCTCTTCACAGAGGACTCTCAGGTCACCAGCACAATCTCCCCTCTCCAGTCCCCACACAAAGGACTCCCTCCCCGGCCCCCCTTGCACAACAGGCCGCCCCCCCCGCAGTCACTGGAAGGCCTCCGCCAGATGCATTACCACCGCAACGACTACGACAAGTCCCCCATCAAACCCAAGATGTGGAGCGAGTCATCCTTGGATGAGCCCTATGAGAAGGTCAAGAAGCGCTCCTCACACAGTCATTCCAGGTGAGCCAGTTAGCTTGAGGCTGCATTCCAGAGATATCCCCTGCTTTCACCAGGGATGGGTGTGAGCCCTGTCAAACTTCCTGAAGCCATCCCATACCAGAAGGAGGTTTTTAGGTGTTTTGGCCAATAAGCATGTCATAAAAATAGGCTGCAAACACAGGAGCTGCTTCATATCTTGATGTTACTGTAGAAACCATTTAGAAAGGAAGGATGGTGGATCTTCTGAGGGCTTTGACAGGGCTTGGCCTTGACCTCTGGCTAATGCAGAAGCACAATGTCTGGGATGCAGCACCAGCTGCCCCAACTCCCGCTCCCCCCCTCAAGATCACAGGCACATGCCTGAGATCTGGAAAGAGGCGTGGGAGCCCTTTTCCCCCATCCCTGCCTGGAAATTGACACAGGGTGTTTGCTCTGCAGCAGTCACAAGCGGTTCCCCAGTACCGGGAGCTGTGCTGAGGCAGGAGGGAGCAGCTCACTGCAGAACAGCCCCATCCGGAGCCTTCCCCACTGGAATTCCCAGTCCAGCATGCCATCGACGCCAGATCTACGGGTACGCAGTCCGCACTACGTCCACTCCACGCGGTAAGTCTTCTCTCACCTTACCTGGAATAAATGTTCTTGGCTTTATCCTTCCCCTAGGATATGTATTAATTCCCAGTTCAGGCAAGGAAATAAACCAGTCCTGTTCGTGTAAAAGGCTCATGTACGGTTGTTGCCAGTAGGGAATCTTTCCCGAACTGAGATCCTGAAATCACATCAGCATGATCCTGCCCCTCATCACTTCCCCAGAAGTAGCCAACCTTTTCTTCCAATGGGACCTTTCATCTCAGGGACTGTTTATAGGTGCTCCAAACCTCACACCACTTTTAGAGCTACTGATAAACTCTGCAGTAAGTTCCTCCATGGATCCCTGAAGAGAACATGTTGTTTCCTGTCTGATACGAACTGTTGTGTAGCGTTAGTTCTCTCTCAAATGCTGGCATGCATGTGAACTTGTGTGGAGAGAGAGCCTGTGTATAGCAATCCACCCAAGGATCCAGGTGGCACTGGAATGAGCCCAAGGCTGACAGAGGAAAGAGCTGAAGTGTGTAAGGGATGTGATTTGATGTGCATGGCCCAATTTGAGTCCAATTTTCATCAGGATTTCCACAGTGTTCAGCTTCGTTGCTGTTTTGCTCTTGTGACAAATCCCATGGACACTGCAGGAAGCAGAGCTGAGCCAAAGCTGTGTTGTTAGGTACCCTGCCCCAAGGGGAAGTGCTACCATCATTCAGCTCAGCATAAATCAAGAGTCATGCCAACACATCAGACTTGGGCAGAGGCAATACAAGGCATTAAGACCCTGGGTCAAGTGTGTTAGAAGCGTTTGGCTGAGAATACCTTTCACAAGTGCAATGTTTGTTTACACTGGAGCCAAGCTGCATAAGAAACAAGCCTGGCACAAGGCTTGAGAAGCAGCCTTGACTGGGTAGGGACCATTTGGGTATTTGAAATAACCATTGCCTGCTCTGTGGCTCATTCATGAGCTGCATGCCCTGGCCTTGGCCATCCATCATGACAGCGTGTGGCTCGTTGGGGAGTGTTCCTGCTCCCTGAACAGATGGCTGAAGCTCTGCAAACAGCTGGGGTGAATAGAGACCACCCAGACTTGGCCATGAATCGAGCCTTGTAAGCTGTGATTTGGGGTAGTTGCCTGAAGGGGCCATCACCCAATAGCAGTCCCACACATGCTACCCATGGCTGGGCCCCAGTAAAACCGAACTGCTCAACAGAGACGACTTTTTCAGTGACCAGGGTAGAAATCACTGCATTCTGGGCTAATGGGCTGTCTGTCTGTCTGTTTGTCTGTCTCACACCAGGTGAATTGTACCTGTGCAGACCATTCAAAGGCTACTTGTGAGGGAATCCCACCTTTGAGGCTAAAGTCTTGGGGTTTGCAGAGCTGGAGTGAGGTGAACCTGGTACACAGGGATGGGGCTGATCCAAACAGCTCTGCCACACCAGCAAAGCTGGGGCTTGAGGTTCCCCGTTTTGCCCTTCAGATTGGGTCTTTCCCAGGGTGGCAAGCCACAGAGGAATTGTGCTGGGCAAGGGCATATCCCATGTGGTGCTGCAGACTGAATGCCACCACCAAAGAGACTGGAGAGGAACAGGAATAGGACCTAATCACTCCAAACCCTGCAGCAGGGAAGCAGCCCCACACAGTGCTGGGCGGGGGGGGGAGAGTCCAGGTTTTCAGTGCCCTCAGTCCATTGCCTGTTAAGCTTGTCTTGTGTGCACAAGGGGATGGGGAGTGCTCTGTCCTGTTGACTTACCAGCCTGGATTTCTTCCCTGCAGGTCAGTAGACATCAGCCCAACCAGACTGCACAGCTTAGCTCAGCACTTTAGACACCGGAGCTCTAGTTTGGAGTCGCAAGGAAAGCTCCTCGGCTCTGAAAACGAGACAGGGAGCCCCGATTTCTACACCCCAAGGACTCGTAGCAGTAATGGCTCTGACCCCATGGACGACTGCTCTTCCTGCACCAGCCATTCCAGCTCTGAGCACTACTACCCCGCTCAGATGAACCCCAACTACTCTACCCTGGCAGAGGATTCCCCATCAAAAGCCAGAGAGCGGCAGAGGCAAAGGCACAAATCGGCAGGCAACTTGGTCTCTTCCAATTCAGGGAGTATGCCCAATCTGGCTGCGAGGAACGGGACAGGACACCACCGTGTGTACCTGCACAGCCAGAGCCAACCCTCCTCCCAGTACAGGATCAAAGAATATCCCCTGTACATTGAGGGCAGCTCCACACCCGTGGTGGTGCGGAGCCTGGAGAACGACCAGGAGGGACACTACAGCGTGAAAGCACAATTCAAAACCTCCAACTCCTACACGGCGGGGGGGATGTTTAAGGAGAACTGGCATGGGGATGAAGTGGACTCTGTCAGGCTCACCCCTTCCCGCTCCCAAATCATAAGGACTCCATCTCTGGGCAGGGAGGGTCACGAGAAAGGCTCGGGTAGGACTGCAGTGTCGGACGAGCTGCGGCTCTGGTACCAGAGGTCCACGGCCTCCCACAAGGAGCACAGCCGCCTCTCGCACACAAGCTCCACCTCCTCGGACAGCAGCTCCCAGTACAGCACATCTTCACAAAGCACCTTTGTGGCGCACAGCCGGGTCACGAGAATGCCTCAGATGTGTAAAGCAACATCAGGTGAGAGCCCAGCCTGGGCAAAGTGGAGGGATACAGGGGAAGTTCAGGTTAGATACAAGGAGGAAGTTCTTTACTGTGAGGGGGGTGAGGCACTGGAATGGGTTGCCCAGAGAAGCTGTGGCTGCCCCATCCGTGGCACTGTTCAAGGCCAGGTTGGACACAGGGGCTTGGAGCAACCTGCTCTAGTGGAAGGTGCCCTGCCTGTGGCAGGGGGGTGGAACTGGATGATTCCAACCCAAGCCATTCTGTGATTCTATGATTCATGCCATATGGGTTCATGCTGGAGAGCAAAGCTAGACCAAAGCACATTATCTGGCCTTCACATGTTGCTCACCAAGCCTGTAGGCATAAGATCGGGGGCAAGCCTTGTCCAACACACTCATCGGGTGGGAATTCTTTCCATGCAAATCATCACTTTGCAATGATGGGCTCAAAAGACACTGAGGGACCAAAGCCCTGTTGTTATCAAGTCTTTCCTCAGCGTGCAGCTGGGTTTTGGATGACGGCACTAGCAGCCAAACATGGAGAAACCATGAGTGGGGAGTCTTTTAGTAACCACAGTGAGGAGAGCGATGCAGCAAGTGAGGGCTCAGCACAGACCAGGAGAATGCATGTCCTTGGTGAAATACCAAAAGCATGAGGAAGGTAAAGTGGGGAGCATTCCAGCCCCTCCACCCCCAGTGAAAATGCTTGAGCAATGACATCTCTGTGCACTGCTGGGACTTGGCTTTCCCTTGCAGCTCCAGCAGCTCTGCTGATAGCATCCTGCAATTCAGAGCACTTTAACTTGTGCAGTGTTGTGTCCATCGGGCAGGTACAGAGCTCTGCAGAGCTCTGTGCTGTTAATATTAAATGGTGAGAAAACAGCCAAATTCATTAAGCTGAGGAGGCCACTGTGTGCTATGAAACAGCCCAAGGTTAAATATTTACTGGTCATCAGTCACTGCTGGACAAGCCAGTTTGGACACATCAAGGACTTGCTAAAACCCCGAATCCAGCCCCATGTGTGCACTCAGAGAGGAGGTTTGACGCCAGGTTCCTCATGGGCCTGAGAAGAGGCTGATTTATGGGTGATGCCAACACTTGTAGGAGGCTCAGATGTGGACCAAGACACAGCTGCTGTAACCATCTTGTGTCTCCATATGAAAATCTGTGTTCCCCCCCTTTGATGAATGGGCATTTCTCTTCCACCCAGCAGCAGAAAATGCCTGAACATAGGAAAGCTTTGCCTTGCTTAGCTTTGGAAACCATATCAGTTCAAGGAGGTAATGTAGGGGGGTTTAGGGGGGAGCATGTAAAAGCTGCTGTCAAGCAGCCCATTCCCCCACCCAGCTGGGTCTTTAAATCTAAATGTGATACCTGGGCAGCACAGTGGTGAATGTGCTCAGTAACCACAGCTTGTGGTGACCAGCTGGCAGGTAGATTGCATTCAGTGTCCAGTTAGAGCTACGGGAGGATACTGACTTCCAGGGCTGTCAGCTCCAAGGAGCAATTAGAGTTTGGTTTTCTCTTTGAGTGTCGTTTGGTAGCAGGTGAAGAATTTAACAGCACACAAAAGGCTGCCAGGTAGAAACAGCCATAATTTCAGCTGATGAGCCCTAGCCAGTAAGTCTACTGGACTGCAGACTGTCCTTCAGCAAGTCATGGTTCTAGGCATATATTAAATTTGGAAGGTCAACACTGTATGGATTTGAGGAGGAATAAAGATTGGTCAGGTGGATTCCTCCAAGAACCACTGCCAATGGCACATTTTTAGTCCAGCTTGTTTCCATCTTTGTTGAAGATGAACCTTCCTCTGGTCCATAGCAGTAGCGTCAGCAAAACCCAGCTTCAGTTTTCTATGCACAGTGAAAGGCAGTTGTAGCTTTTGCAGTCTTCAGAGCTGTCGCCCTCCTTTGCAGATGAAGCAGTGTCCTTGTCCATCCTGTCACCACTGCCAGCCCTGGCTCCCAGGGACACAGAGCATCTCCCACCACCAAGGGAAGCAGGACAGGCTGGGCTCCTCCATCTCCCATGGAGATGTGCAGCAAAACCCATTAGCTTTCATGCTGGGACAAACATGATGCTTCCCAGGCTGGCTCAGGAGAGTCTGGGTGGTTGCACGCAGGCTGAAACAAAGCATTCCTGCAGAGCTGAGGCTGGATCCAGCCATGACCCACAGCAGTGTCAGCAGTAGGCTGGCTGCTCCTGTGCCACGTTCGGGATGAGGTCTGACTCCCAGGCGGTGTTTGCTCACAGCCAGACATGTTTGAAATGCTGGTCTGACCACCCTGACCCTCACGCCCTCACCTCACTGGTTCTTTGCCTGCTCCCTTGGGTTGTTTTCCAGCTGCCTTACCTCACAGCCAGAGGAGTTCGACACCGTCGAGTGAGCTAGCAGCCACGCCGCCGGGCAGCCCGCACCATATCCTCGCGTGGCAGACCGGGTGAGTGTCCGTGCCATCGGGTTAAACAACTCACCTCACTCAGTGCCACACTAGCACAGGGACAGCACACACATGGGGAGCATCTTCCAGGTCCTCCATAGCCTGCACATCTGCACAGAGCATTCCCAATTCCCATCCAGAGTGGTGGAGCTGTAGTTCAGGCTGACCAAGACACAACCATGCCACCCACACCAGCAGCACTGCTCCAAGCAGTGCCAGATCCACAGGGAAAGAAGCCTTGCAGGTTCTTCCTGCTTGGGCAGTCTCCTTCCTCCAGTCTTCCTGTGTTGAAATAGCTGATCTTTCCTGTAGCAACTATCCCACTGGCTGTGCAGACCAGGAGGATCTTTGTTGGAAAGGCAGGGTTTGGTGCCTGCCATACTTGTGTCTAGTTTTTCTGCTAGGTTTTCCTGGCAGTGCATCTTAATGACTATAAAGTGCACCTTTTTTCAGCTACCACTAACTTACCATGAGTGAGTTATTCTATGCAGGTAGCCATTACTCACGTAAACACAGTAATTGGGTTCTTTGGCACCTCTTTGTGAGGCAGGGAGTTCCAGGTGTAAGCAAAGAGCATTCTGTAAGCACCCATGGGTATTCTGCAGTAAGCTCCAGTAATTCTGGCCTGCCACATGAAATAAAGATCATTTCCAGACCCCCTCTAATTCAGCACATCCCAAATTTTTGCATCTAAATGGAGTTTGGTGAGATCAGCTATAAAGTTTCAGACTACAGCCTCAAAATACCACGTCCTTGAGCAGGAAACCAGGTACGATTCCCTGAGCTGTTACCGGTCCCAGTTCACACTGCAAACATTTCACTGTGCAGCCACTGGAAAATCTCATACTCCTTAATTTCTTCTGGGCACCTGTGACCGAGTTTGAACTCTGGTTTCACTCCAGCTCTGCTTGTGACTGCGCTGTAAAATGGAGATGAGGAGCACCATAACCACAACCCCCTTAGGCCTACCTTAGATTTTGATATCCAGCCTCACATGAGCTTTGCATGGGCTTCCAGCTTTAGAAAAGGAGGATTTTCCTGGTCCCATTTCACAAAAGGCCAAGGGATCACAAGACAGGCAAACGGCAGTTATCTTCACTGCACACTAAAGTTTCCACTAGGAAGGGTTTGAGTCTAGACTCAGATTTCAGTCTCCATCCCAATCCTAACTCCTCTAAATATGTACATGATGCTCAGCAGTAAACCTGGTGAGCAGCCAGCTGAGAAATCTGTTTGGAAAAATCCCAACTCCCATTTTTCCTCTCAAGAAAACTCCTGCACCCTGTCTCCCATAGCAAAAATGCATCAAGCCAAATTCCCAGCTGGTGAAAGTGAAGTTATCTTAGATTTATAGCATTGCACCAACAACCAGTGCAAACAGAGCTGGAGACAAATCAGCGCTTCGTGCCTGAGCATAATACCCTAGTTACGAATTCAGGTCCAGGTTGCTGTCAGATGAACAACACAAAGTGCAGGAGCTGGCTGTGCCCTCCCAGCATGACCCAGACAGATTGACACTTCTCCCCAACATGCTTTTGTGTCACTAACTCTTTCTAAAGATGAGTCATTGACTTGTTTCCCCACTGGATTAATAAGCTCGTAACAATGTCTGTGTCACTTCTTCTCTTTAACATTTCCTCTCTCCTCTTTCCTTCCTTTTTTGCTCTCCTTTGTTCAGAGAAGCAACAGACAACTCACCCACTATGGATGAGTCTCAGTCTCCAACCCACCAAAGTACTGATGAATAGAGGTATAGTAAGGGGCCGTTTTGTTCTTTCATCCTCCTGCCTTACAGTCCGTGAACACAGTGTGAATAACCAGCATCCCGCTGTCCCAGAGGAGCAGCCCTTGTGGTTATGTCCCTCCTTGTTTGGCAACAAGGCTTCCTTCAGCCCTGGGAAGAACAACTTGAAAGCATCTCCATGCCCTCTCTGTGCCTTTTCAGCAAATTTGTGGCTGTGGTGCTCTTTGAAAGAGGACTTTGGGCCAGTCTGCTCTGCCCTTGTGCGGAGGTGAATGGGCAGAGAGCAGGCGACAGTGACAATTTGTGGCTGGGGACATTCAAAGCAGCATGGGCAAAGTGCTATGGAGAGAGTGTGGAAACTCAGGGGACCTGGACTGAGCTCCCTGCAGTGCTGCAGCCATGGCACCGAGCACCCCATTCTCCTCCTTCCCTCGGACAGAGCAGAGCTGTGAAGCAGAGCCTAGGAGCAGCAGCGTAGTTTCATGGAACAAGGAGTGATCCTGGCCCTGTTCCTGTGGGAAAACAAGGGAGGGCAAAGGGAACAAAAAGCTCCTCAGAGTATTTCTAGTTTAATTAAACTGCATGGCTGTCTGACACCCTGATTTGAATCTACAACCATTCACAGCTGGCATGTGTCACCTATTTCAAGCCCAGCTTTCAAGAGATAACCCATAAACCTCCCTACTCCAGCACAGAGCTGGGAAACAAAGGGCTCTTTAACATGCAGATGGTGATGTCCTTGCTCAGGTTCCTCCAAAACAAGGTCCCAGGAAAGCAGGTGGAAAACAGGGGAGAGGAAGCAGGAACTGTGGGGATCAGTCCCTGCGAGTCCAGGGAGCTGAGGGGTGAGAATCCCACAGTAAAGGCAATATGCATCTCTCACTGTTGGCCTCAAAACAATCTCTAGTTCGGAAGCTGGTTCAAAACATATGAGGGGCCACATCAATTCTGACTCTTATTATGCAGATACAGCACAGAAAATTCTCATCAACTACCTCACCTGCTGAGTACAGGCAAACAAAAAGCCATGCAGGGAAGAAAGCAATAGCTTGTCAATCAGTCAGACAAGTCCTAAGAGCAGTGATCTTGGCCATGGACAGTATTACCCAGTGGGAACAGGGAAGGACAAGGGTGGTGGTGCTTTCCTGTAGCTCTTCTGCTCTAGGCAAGGGCTTGTGCATCACCTGGCAATGCCACAGTTAGGTGGCTTTCCAGGGATGAGCTAGAAAGTGATTCATGCCAGGTCCAATGTGGAAAGGATGGTGTTATGTTGTAGGCAGTGGGTTGGAACTGGATGAGCTTTAACGTCCCTTCTAACCCAAACCATTCTATGATGATTCTGGCAGGGTTGGCCACAGGTGCTTGCAGCAGACACTGCTTTCTTGTAGTGCATCCCACCAGCAGTGGGCTGAAAGCAACAGCAGCTCTGCCTGTTGCCATTCCAACCCCCAAAACTCAGGGCATCCTGGTCACAGAGAGGCTGCTGGAGCTCAGCTTCCTCCTGCCTCCTCACACCAGGCACTTTGTGGGGTGAACAGGGCTGCCAGGCAAGAGCAAACTGCGGCAAAGCAGGTCTTGCATGCTGAGTGCACCCCAAATATCAGCTCTGAGGGTACGTGCAGAGCACAGTGGGGTCTGTGAATATCCTCTGTTCCCTTCCACATGTAATACAATGTTTAGTGCCCCGGTTGAAGTTTCCAGGAGCCCTTGTTGTCCTAACGAAATTTCCTTTCTCCTGCAGGAGCTACAACGACAGTTGTTTCCTGGATTCTCCCCTCTATCCAGAATTAGCAGATGTCCAGTGGTATGGGCAGGAAAAAGCCAAGCCTGGGACTCTAGTGTGAACCCCTGACCTCAAGTTAACCACATCAATGCCATTCTGAGATCACCTCACTGCCTCTCATTTGCCTTACCCAGATGCACTGTCACCCAGCACCAGCTTCCACTCCAAGCACTTTCCTCATGATGCAATTCAAGGCCACATCCACACCACACTGGCCCGGAGACATCCACCACAGCAGCACCCCGCTGCCAGAGCAGCACATGTGATGAGCAGCCATCCTAACAGGCACTCAGCAATCTACTGCTTTGCCTTTGGAATGATGGAAGCCTTTCAAGGCTTACATCAAATTGTATTGCTCTGCGGCATGTAACAGCAGTAAGATTTCCATGACCTGTGATCTGAAGCATTAATTTAAAGGGGGGATAAAATGGGATAAATGCTGAGAAATGGATGTAACAGTCCTGAAAGCATGTCTGTTATGAAAGAGCAAAACCATGTCACTTCATAGATGTGTCAGTCTCACAGTCAGATCTGCACTGCCAAAGATCACCACGCCAACAGCAGGATGAGCTCACTCAGCAGGTTCCAGCTACAAGAACATCTGTTTTAACTCGGTACAGACACAACCACCTCCTGTCAAACAGCATTTCCTTCATCGCTTTGAGCCCACCTACGTGCAAAATAACCCAGTGTGCTGAAGACCTGCTGGAGGTCTGGACTGGTATCACAGCATCACTGTCCACAAGCTACTTTTAAACTGGACAAACAAGGTTTACAGAGCCATTATCTAAAGCAGAGGCAAGTACTGGGGCTGGCACCGGTTGCACACCACTACATGGAGAAGTTGGGTTGTGCTGGTTGGGTTTTAATACTCTGATAAATATAAAAATTGCCAAAAAAACCCTTTCTGCAAACAGATACAGCCAATAAATTCTAATCAATACCTGCACAAAGCATGAAGGTGAAATCAAAGGGAGAGCACACAGCAATCAAACCAACACCTGAAGCCGCATTAACGCATCTGCTCCACTCCTCTCCCCTTCCTAAGCACCAGTGTAGCAAAGGGCTCGTCACCAGTGTGTTGCCGGGTGGGAGAACCGGTCCGTCAGGAAGAGCTCAACACCCAGCAGCAGAGGCAGATCCTCCCAGTGCAAGCGACCACAAGAAAGAGAAGCAACTCAATGGGGTGTTGGACATGAGCGAGAGCTGCCTGCTGATACCAAAAGGAATCATCATGGAAGGAGCTGCAAGTTTACACGTACTTTTGAGCAATGCTTTATACACGTTCAAGCCATGGAACTTTCAAAGGCCTCAAAGACACTTTTGTAACAAACAAGTGCACAATCTGGGTGGATGTTGAAGCTGGCACGTCTAGGCTTCACCGCGGTGCTATGCTGTTTTTATTGCCACTAGATGGGGGGAGGCTCCTGGCTTTCCCCCCGTTTGTGCGATGATTTCCTATGGGAAAGGCATTAAAAGAAACGTCTGGAGGGGGGTAACTTTGGTGAAAAGCAGAAACTGAAGTTAGCTTTAGTTTAAGGAAAAGAAGAATTAAAGTGTGAGTGTGTGTGTGTGTGTTCCAAGAATAACAACAGCGTCTACCAGACAAAGTAAGGCGACAATGAAACACCTCAACTTGGGGGGCTGCCACACCTTTTGGTATTAAGATTGCTGGAAAACTGCATTCCAGTCTTGAAAAGAGAATGGGTTCTGCATAATTAGGCTTGGAAAGATGACGGGGTTTCTATACATTAACACAAGCAGCTCACACAACAGCACGTACCAGGAATGATCGGTGCTGTTCTCTTGTGCCAGGCAGGCAGAAGGGCTGGTGTTTGTCTAGGGAAATCCACAGCAGAGCCAGGAAGGGAACTCTCGTGTCCATACATCATTATTATTCCTCTGGAAAAACAAAACAGAACAGTTTTTACCCTGGCAAGGGGTTTTAAAGGTGGCCATGTGAGCCTCGAGCTTCTGGACCTCCAGGAAGCATTGAACCCCCTATGACAGTAGTTGGAGCCTCACAACCCATCCGTGGAAAGACAGCAGTGAGGTTGCACCCATTACCTGGATGTGCAAAATCCAGTTCCACCATCTCTTTGTGCTTTGGGGTCTTTAACATGGGAATTATCTGAAGCTCCTAATTGGATTTTTAGCTACAAGATAGCACTGATTAGTGTCATTTCCTGGTAAGACTGAGGAGCTAAAGTGAAAGGATTAACTAAGGACCAAATTAAGCAGCAGCAAGTAATTCAGCCCATGGATTTTTAGGGGCTCTGAGCAACTGTCTGTTTTCTTTTTAATTCCCCTGTAAGTGGCTTTGGGGTTGGTTGGTTTCTGTTTTCTCTGTGTACCTTCTCTTAATTAAAAAGAATTCAACAACAGCGGCGCTATGATGCCTCTGGGCACTACAGGAAGAACTGTTAATTCCTCCAAGACCAGCTCTGCAGTTTTGCAGCACAGGTGAAAAGGTGGCAGCCCTGAACTTAGGTGTAAACAGGAATCCAGTGCTTGGCCTGAATTGCAAAGGGGCTCAAGTAGAGAAAAAAGCTTTCTAGAAACGGATTGAGTTTTGCTTTGTGTTCTGCTTTTCTGTTCCACAGTCGAGGCACACGTGAGCAGCCAGTCTGGTAGTAAAGACAGATTAAAGTAAAACAGGTTTTACTGTTTAGCTCAATTCAATTAAAACACAAATGTACATAAAATGTTAATCAGATGAGATTAACATATTTAAGTATAACGCGGAGGGGTATATACATAGCTATTATAGACAAGCACTTGACTACCAACTTAACCCCTCCTGTCCTTTTTTGTTTTCCAAGGCTCCATCCGACATAAAGCCACAATCGCGTTCCGAGTCTACGTGTCTGATGCTCAGCCGGGAGCTAATCCCGCACTGGGCCGTGCTGGAGGGAGGCAGGGTTTATTTTGCCATCATCCTATATGCAGTCGAGTGTTGAAGATGTTGAAACAGTCCCATTTGTTTTCACTCTGTATTAGTTTTAGTTTCAGGCATAGCCGATACCCATTCAGGTGCTATCAGATGACCAGTTACTGCTTAGTTAACTAGATGTAAAGTTTTACATATATATTAATGTCAATAGTTTTATTACGAGTTGTGTAAAATGGACTCTCTAGTTTAAAAAAAAATAAAAAAGAAGGAAAAATAAGGAAAAAAAACATTAGGTCTCTCCTAAAATTGACTTTAGAGCATGGAAAATGATTTGACTGGATTCTGTTCAACTGTAATCAAGGCAAAAAGATATGGATGTTGTAGAAAAAGTTGCAGAATTAAAACAGATCTGCTTTTAATTTATTCTTTTTGTATTAAGAATTTGTATAGTTACCTTTACATTTTGCAGAACGGTGTTGTCAACACTTCCTTATTAAAGCATTTTCAAAATGAAACCTTGCAGTGCGCTTATTCCGGAGGGCACAGCGCCTTGGGCACTCCTTATACCACCACCTCTGCCAGACCTTGCTCCAGATGTGCACACAGCTGGCCAGGGCTTCCATGGCACCTGCTCCTTTGCTGCTGGTTGCAGGAAACACTGGGCATTAGGATGCTGGAAAGGGGCTCTTCATCAGGGACTGTAGTGATAGGACAAGGGGTGATGGGTTCAAACTGAAACAGGGGAAGTTTAGATTGGATATAAGGAAGAAGTTCTTTACTGTGAGGGTGGTGAGGCACTGGGATGGGTTGCCCAAGGAAGCTGTGAATGCTCCATCCCTGGCAGTGTTCAAGGCCAGGTTGGACAGAGCCTCAGGTGACATGGTTTAGTGTGAGGTGTCCCTGCCCATGGCAGGGGGGTTGGAAGTGGATGAGCTTAAGGTCCTTTCCAACCCAAACCATTCTGTGATTCACCTCAAAAAGCCTGTCCTTTAGAGATCCCCTGGGATTCAGTGGATCTGTGGTCACTCCACCACGTGTCCTCGATTGTTGGTCTTAGGAGACCTTGAGCTGTGAGAAACTGCGTGACTGATGTCCCACCACAGTACAAAACAAACATAACAGTTAATTAATATTAATACTAGTTAACGTTTACTTCCAACACACATCATTTGGAACAACTACGCTCACTTTTAGGAACTGAATGTTCAGGAGCTACATGGCTGCTTGTGGCAACACAAAGGTCCACAGGAGAGGCTTGAGCACCAGCACACTCACCCCTGGTGCTCCAAGGAACCACCAGCTCTTTGGGGTAAATTCCTAAAGAACCCCCATGCTCCTGGTTTACTCTCTGCTGAGGAGGCAGAAGCACAGAGAACCCATCCCAGCAGACAGGGCTGGAGCTCAGGAGGTGTTCTACCTGCACCCTGCCCTAGGCAGCATTAGATTGACACTTGCTATCCTGTTTCTCCCTCTGCAGGCAGTGGTGACCAAGCAGTGCCCAGCACCCCTCCATTCAGTTCCAAACAGCCACACACTTTCCACATGGGACCAGTCTGTGCTTCCCAGTGCCCAGCGCAGTCACTTCCTATTCTTTCCATTTATCCCCACTGCCCAGCAGCTCTGTTCCACCCCAGCATCTCTCAGACAATCCCGACATGCACATAGGGAGCCACCAATGGCACCAATGAAGAGCCAGGAGCCCACCCTGACCACCACCAGCATCACTGCACAGGGGCCAGTCATGTGCAGTAAATCCCCCAAAGGGTTTGGGAAGGGACAAAATGACCATGATGGGATTTTACAGACTTTTCCCTAACTCCTGGGTTTTGTCTCCAGTTTACTGCCAGTGGCTCCAATACTGCTGCAGTATCTACAGCCCATCAGGAGCAGCTTTACCTACAGCCTGCTCCGGATTCCATACCAGCAATGAGCCTCTGGAAGGGCACCATGCCGTGTGCTCACCCCTGGGCCCGGGAGTCAGGGCTCTCTCCTGCCCCTGGGGAACAGACATTCACATCTCAAACAGGTTTGTTCCTTGGGCAAGAACGGGAGCTGTAATGGAGTAATGGGTTAAAACTGAAACAGGGGAAGTTTAGATTGGATGTAAGAAGGAAATTCTTTACTGTGGGTGGAGAGGCACTGGAATGGGTTGCCCAAGAAGTTGTGAATGCCCCATCCCTGGCAGTGTTTAAGGCCAGGCTAGACAGGGCTTGGAGCAAACTGGTCTAGCGAAAGGTGTCCCTGCCTGTGGCAGGGGGTTGGAACTGGATGATCTTGAGATCCTTTCCAACCCAAATCACTCTATGGTTCTATGATTATATGCCAGTTGACAGGAGAGGAACCCAGACCCTCAATCAAAATGAACTGCTCCCACACAGGCCTACCCAAAAAGCCTTTCCTGCAGCAGCGACAAAGAGCAAAAGAGCAAATAAGGTATTGAAGGCATTCAACTACCACTGGGCACAGCAATACCAATACAAGGGAGATAACCTGTACTTGGAGAGCACCTTCCACCACCAGGCTGGGGAAGGGGTCAGGGCCTTCAACGAACAATGAGGGACACTAAAGTCCCCAAACCCCTCCAGACACTGGCAAATGCATGACTTCATCCTGAGGCTTCAACTCTTGTATCCAGCAGAGTTATTTCCTCCTAATGCCAGGATTATCAGAAATGAACATCTGGAGAAGCCCAGAGGGAGAAGTCCAAACGGCTGAACCGAAACATCCCCTCCCCACAAAGCCCTTCCAGCATGTGACAGCAGCTCCACACCCGCTTGTCCCCACACTGGGCCCGGCTGGGCTTGGGGTTGGTTTTGGCTATTTGCTCAGGCTCTGGTAGCTGTAATTTGGGGCCATCCAGCTGCAAAGATGATGAAAAGCAGCTGCTGTAACAGTGTCCCCCCGCCCGCGATCCCGCCGGGACCGGAGCTGGCTCTCACGTGCCGGACAGCTGGAAACTCTTACATGGATATGCCGTGAGAAAGTACTTTTCAGTCCCTGGGTTCCCCGTGCAGCACCATTCCATGGATTGCAATGGGATAAAGTTCTTCCGTCACGGGATTCATTCAGGCACAGCGGCTGTATTTCAGGGACTGTCAGCAAGGAGGCACGTTATTTAAATTACAATCTTTCAAACCTGAGCAGATTAAAACATTCCAACCCCAAATTCACACCCCATCAGGAAGCGCATCCCCACTCAGAACCAGTACTCAGGGTACCATTAAAACTCTCCTCAATAATTAGCTCTGAAGCTAATTGTTGGGAGGGGAAAATCTATCTAATACTATTACAGATGCCCCAAGGAATCCCATTCCATTGCAAACAGATGTTACAATGCTCCTTAAACCATCCCCTGGCTGCTCCCTTGCCGCGCTTCCCAAGGATATTACAGCCCTCCTAAACAAGGGACAATATTGTCCCTCAATTATTGAAGGAGGAGTTCAAAACTAAATCTTCGTCCTGACCTTAGAAGCAGCTCAGGAAATCATCTGGGTGGAGAGAGGGATAAAGTTGCAGCGTTATAAATGTTTCCTGTTGTAACCATGCCTCTGAAGAGTGCCTGTGTAGAGCACTGCAAAAACATCACCAGACACCACAGTTAATGAAACTCTTCCATGCTCCCGACATCTGCTGGGCTTCTCCCCACAACTCCCCGCCTGTTCCCCAAGGCCCCTCCCCAGGCACGGGTTAGGTCTCATTAGCCTCAGTTTTATTACTTCTAAACTGTTTAAGCTCTTGACATTCTCTCTGGGGTCACATGCTCCAGACTGAAAAACTGCTGTGGCCAAAGAGGCACAAAGAACACAGAGACTCTCCGAAGAATCACAGAGTGGTTTGGGTTGGAAAGGACCTTAGTATCATCCAGTCCCAACCCCTGCCATGGGCAGGGACACCTCACACTAGGGTGTGTTGCCCAAGGCTCTGTCCAGCCTTGAGATACGGCTTGTAATGGGATGCCAGATTCAAAAACCTGCCTGAACCCAACCCCAGACCCTATCCTCCACTGACTGCACAGGAAAGAGTTCTCCAGAGGCAGAAGAGTGCACTTGGCTTGACTGGATCTAGGGGACCAGACAGATGCAAGGTCTGGAAGCTCAGAAGTGTGTGTAGCTGCAGTTATGAGCAGCACCGAAATGATCAGCAACCCATTTGGGGCTTCTCTGTAGATCCTAGAAAGGCTCCTTAGGAGAAGGACCTGTCAGCGCTGTTGCAGAGGTACCACTGCTATTGCAATTAAACCACAATATTTCATCATGGAATAATTTGGGCCCCTGTGTCCAACCTGGCCTTGAACACTGCCAGGGATGGGGCAGCCACAGCTTCTCTGGACACCCTGTGCCAGTGTCCCACCACCCTCACACAGAAGTTCAGCCTTTTGCCCTGCACCACTTCCAAAGTTCATCTGAATCAGACATCATCCTTTCTGTGAGTTTCTTCACCATCAAGATGCACAATAGTAAAGAGTTTTGGCTACCAGAAATGCTGTATGTGGTCATGGGAGGTCCTAATTATTTTCTCTGCAATACCCAGCAGAATAGGATTTTCTCCATATGTATAAAAACGGGATTTGAAAGCCTCAAGAGCCATGAGATGACTTCCCTCAAGCCCAGAAGTCTTCTATTAAAAACACTGTTACAAAAGGAAGAAAAAGCCAAATCAGATGCATTCAAGATCAAAACCCCTTTGCACTGAGCCAGGCTGTAGTTTTGAGCTGAGAAATATAGAAACCTTTTTATTTTTCCCTCCTGATAAATACCACATGAAAGATTAGCCAATAAAGTCTTCGTATTTACAGAAACAACCAAGATTCAACTTCAACTGCTTCCCTCTAATCACCTCCCCGCATCAGTCTCCAATGGGAAAGCAGCCAGAAAAGCTCCACATATGCTCCTTGCAGGGCTGAGTCGCACCTAAAGCTCCTAAGATACGGGAAACAGTTCAGTCTGCACGGTTCCCTGAATAACAAAGCGAAATAAAGGCAAGGATTCACTGTCCCCTGGTCATACCAGGGGACATACCTGGTCAACCCTTCGAACCTCCCCCCTCTGCTGCAGACTGGATGTGTTCAGGATAAAGTATAGATTTAAAGAGAAATCTAAATAAATGGGGCTTGTAAAAAAGAAGCTGTGGAAAACCTGCTGCTTTGTGCTTTTCCTCAAAGCCCACCCCCCCATGTTCTGTTGGTGTTAAAGCACAAGCTGTCTCTTCAACCCTCTCTGGATCCTGGAGATGGAAACTTGAGTCACGGCTTGACCACTGCAGAGCCTCACAACGCGTTGTACTCCACACACTTGGACGGGTCTGTTGGGAAGTGCTTCTGGCAAATGGTCATGAGCCTCTTCAGCCCCTAGGAATTAACAACACAAGGACAATCCTGTGATAAACCTGCAGCTGTTAAACCAGCCTCACAGACTACAGGGTTTTAAAGCTTAAGAATTAAAAGGAAAAGGCTGCTGTTCTGGGGTTAGGATGGGGGGCTTGTTTGGTTGTTTTATTAACCTTTCTTCCTCTGAAGTCCCAAGTTATCTCCAATATGAGAGGAGATGCTATTTTCTCAGGTGATGATATTAAAAAATAAAGTTAAGGAGAAACCAGAAGCTGTATTTGTAACCCTAACACAAAGAGACTCAAAGTGGAAGGGGAAGTTTCTTTTTGCAAGCAATTTGCTTGCAGCCATCTGCAGAAGTCAAAGAGCAAAGAGAGTATTTCTGCTGCAGCAGGAAGACATTTACATAAGCTTCCCCTGCCAGAAGCTTTGAGCTCCAAGATGCTGCTCTGGAGGCTTCAGAGTTAAGCCAGAAGGTCTTTATCTCAATGCAACTGTAGCTGGCAGGAGGCAAATACATGTCAAAATACAACAAGAGAAGACTTGTTTCCTCAGACCTGTACACTTACTGCACTGAAAGGTTAGAGGACAAAAACACCACTGCTGCTAATTCCGAACTCAAAAGTTCACAATATGAGTATGAATATGCACTGGAGGAACTGAACCTGAAACTTTCAAATCCATGGTGTTGAAGGGACATGTTTGAAAAATGAAAGCATTTATCTGGTTGCAGAAATAGTCAGAAGAACTGTATTTCAGAGATTAAATTTAATACATTCTGCACAGTTAAACAGTGAAGGAACTGAGGAGCATGTCTTCACAGCTACTTTGGTGTTCATGTAGGATCACAACAATTAAGAGGTAAAAAAAACCTTTAGACTCCATTCCCAGCCCAGCACTGAAGAGCCTTCAGGTCCAGGATAAGCTATTAAATGGATGTTATGCTTGACCCAAACTAAGGTCCATTTCCAGGACCTTTTTACCACATCACCTCAAAGATCCCCTAACTTCAAAAGGGAATCAGTTGGATTCCCCAAGCCAACCTTACCTGTATGTATTTCCTCTGAGTTTCATCGTTGAGAACATGGGCTACGTGCTTGGAGAAGATCTTCTCACGACCCGTTCGAGCGTGGATACCAACCATGGTGACACCAATGGGCCAGGGAGCATTTCCAATGGCCATCTGGAGATAGGCATCGTTTGCCTGAAGAAACACAGTGCAGGTACTCTTAGAAAAACAGAAAGAGCATGAGAAAGCATCCATTGTACAGCTGGATACAGTAACACCTATTCCAGTCTCTCTGAATCAGGTCTCAGTGCATGGTATTAACCAATTTCACAACGCATCTTCCTAACACAAATCATGTTTACTCTGACAGAAGCAAGAACCATGGACCTTACCTGATGAAAGAAAGCACTGGATGAGACAGTTTAATCACCTTGATTAAAATGAAAATTAGTAAACAGCCCTCAGCAGGGACTGTTTTCAACTCAGCTTTCTCAGGTTCCCATGAGTTTTTCTTCTGCTATCACCTTTAGATCTGTTGCAGATGCAGACTAGACCAGGAAGCCTGTCTGTAAGCACAACCCATTGAAGGCTGATGTTGTGTGCGTGGACCTGAGGAGTGCACTGGGGCCCAACAGCCCTCAGGGAGGTGAGCTTCCAAAGAGGCTGAGAACCAGCACTCCACAAAACTGGGTTAAATAAGCACATTTGTAACAACATTTACGAAGGGAGGAGTAGCAGCAGTAAATCAATCTGAAATTTCCCAATCCAGACAGCAGACCCCGTTTCTAAAGCTGTAGCAGACAAAGTCCCTGGGGAAGAACAGGGATAAAATTTGAAGGCAAAATTAACAGAAAGAAAGGGAGAAAGGAAGAGAAATACAGAGCTTAGAACAACTCACGACAACTGAGAATCAGGAAGTGAGTGGGACAGACACATGCAATCACAGAAGCTCCAGGAAGGACGTGGAGCAGGACATTCCTCTACTATTAGCGTGCAGCCACAAGACTCACTGATGCAGTGTTCGTTTACCATCTCCTATTTAAAGACTATACAGTGAGAAGCAGCAATCATGACCAGTGCACACAGTTTCTTCCCAGCTGGCACTGGGAGGTGAATAATGAACAAAGCAGGGGGTTGCAGACAGCTGAAAGTAAATCTCAAGAAGGGACATGAAGCAGAATCTGAAGTCTTCATGAAACAACTACTTAACTGATTTAAATATAGTTACATGATGAACCCCAGCATGTGAACATGCAATTAAAGACCCTTCTGGGACTGTCACAACAGGGTTAATTAAGGTTGAGTGCACAACTTGTATCCTGGCATTTGCCTGCTGTCAGGTGTTGATTTCAAAGTTTAACTCTTTCCAGCTGTTCATCTAACAGAGCGGTAAGAATTGGTGGCTGAGCATTCACTAGGCTGCACAAAGCAAAATAGCACAGAAGACAACAGCAGCGAGTAAAAGGCAAGTCTCTTAGGAAGCAAAATGGAAGAGGATATGAGTACCTTTAAAAGTAAAAGGCTCAGTAACTTAATTAAAAAGCAAACAAATAAGAAAAGCCCAAAACTTCCAAATGTATACTCAAATCCCCCAAAATGAGTCCATGAAATTTACATAAAGCCAAGCACTCCCAGGAGAGAAGAGCACAGCTGACTAACCCATGAGATAAACCACATTCCCACACATTCCTTACTTTGTTTGAAGAGGTATTGGGAAGGGAATTTCAACCTAATGATGACAACCAACAGAAAATAAAATGCCCCCAAACAAAACCCCACTATCATAAATCCCACACTTTCAGTTCTATTTTCAGATTTAGATTAAACTTTCCTTGGGCTATCTGAAGTTATTTTCAGGAGCAGGCTCACTGCTTACTTGACAAACTACCCCAACTCCTCACAAGAATAATACAAAATACTAGAAATTTAAAGGCAAAACACAGCTTGGTTTCCTCTGTATACACAAGCTGCTTAAGCAAATGCTATTGGTATTTGAGTTCTACTTCTGAAGGCAGCTACAAACAAAAGCCAACACTGCCTTTGATCTTGTGTGCCAAAGTGCTTCTGCCTCCTCCAGTAAGCAGACTTTGTCCAAAAGGCTTTTCATTACCATACCTCAACCATACCAGGCTGGCTAATGTAAGCATCGCCACAGAAAGGGACAGCATCTCGTATTCAATAACTCAGTTTGACTCAATTAATTCCTAATTAATTAATCAACACCCTATCCCTATTAATTCAATACCTTCATTTAACCTTCCAATATCGGGTTTCCCACAGAGGATTCCTCTCTGCAACTTAATATAACCATCTCTGAGAAAAATTCCCTTCTCAAAGCTCTGCAGTTTCACCAACCTCAAAAGATCTTCTGACAGGCTGTGGATCAAACACTACTGGGAGCCAAACCTTTCACAGCCAGTTTCCATTTTGTTTGGATATACACTGTGTGTATTTCCAGCTATGCATCTTCCAAATGCAAAAAAGAATGGGAATGTTGGAAGTAAGAAACTCCATCTATTAGAACCAAACAGTCTGAATATGCTGGAAGAGTGCAAACAAACGTACCTTCACATATTCTCTTTGCAACATGAATTTAATGATATCTGTTATTGATTCCTTGATGTCTGCAGGAAGTGTCTACAGGAGAAGAAGAAGAAGACATATTTACTTCAGAATAGCAGCTCAGGAAAATCATCCTACTCAGCATTTATACAGAGTTTAGCAACTACCCTAGCTAGAGGACTTTAACAAAGGAAAACATTTAGATAAGGGATCTGAAGAAAGAGAGGTTAAGTGGTTACACCTAGTAGCTAGCGGCAAAGTGCAAAATAAAATTCCAATTCTATCCTGTTTGCAACCTAATGAACAGGTAAGACATTCAGCAACACTTGGAAAAGCACTGGGTAGGCAGAACTCACTGATCAAGATAAAAACGTCAGAACAGGGGAGTCGTGTGCTCTAGACGCAGAAACTCTGACAAACTCACTTATCCTCTCTTCTTCAGGGAAGGTAACATTAGCTTAGGAAAGGACACTACATTTGAAAGCAGAAGGTAAACTCTTACAGGACAGTGACATTTAAAAGTGATTCACCCTTTTCCGAAGCTTTCTGAAGAGTGGCCTCAGGTAGGATTCTGTCTGCTTCTGCGTGGCACTGTTCAGCTTCCCCTGCACTCCCCGTTTCACATAGTCTTCTCTGGCATTCAACTCCTTAGCCCAAACGCCAAGAAGAAACTGTGTGAGGAACAAGCACATTTATGTCAGAGTACCATCTACTGGCTTCCTCGGCAAAACAGATGGGAACAGTTTAAGCCACGAAGGCAAAATCAGGTTCTCTGGAGAAATCTGAAATAAGACTCCAAGAAGCCTCTTTCAGAAGGATACACAAAGAGGGAGAGGAACAACCCTCCTAGTACAAAAAGATGTGGGTGAGAGGGGGGAGCATGTATAAACAGGCGTTTACAGAAAAAAAAAACCACAAGGAAACATCATTGCAGGTATCACTGCAGGGAAGGAGAACGAATACGTAAGAAGACCAGAAATCTTAAGCAGAAGATGCTGACGTTTCAGGGCAGTTTTCCTGCATAGGAGCCTAAGGGATGGTGAAGATCACAGTGAAAATTCAACGCACCAGAAGGAAAACACATCAAATGTGCCTTCTCTCCACCTGGAAAGCAATTTTTGAGCCTGCTTTCCCTGCCCAGCCCAAACTACATTAAAATGATGGTGTATCTTATAAATACAAACTAAAGCTCCAACTCTTACTGTGACTTGTGATCATCACAGTAGTTACACAAGGACCAGCTGACTCAAATAAGAGGCAATACAGGCTTCTTGCCAGGAAACAAGGAAACAATTTTCTACCATCCACTTGAATCTGGTTACTTAGAAAAGCCAGTGGATTTCCTTTAAAATGCTCTTATTTCACATTACAGTACCACGTGACATTTCATTTCAGCTTGTGCTGTTCCTGGGGAAGGGAAGCAGGGACTCCTCGGAAGCTTTTAATGTCCTAGTAGTATACAGAAGCAACTACATACAACTGCTTTAATGACCACATGGAAATCAAAACCATATTTATTTTATCTAGAAAAAGCAGGACCAGATTGTGAAGAACACTCTTTCCTAGCTCTAGCAGAAGTCACTATTGTGACTAACCAAAGCTGTGGAGTACAAAGCATTTAAAAAACCCACATCTTAAACATGAGTTTTTCTCTACAAGCAGCCAAAACCATCCCTTCTATTCACCAGATATATATGCATGATAGTAAAAAATACAACACAGCTACAGAATTATTAATCTATTAGAGTTTTTTACCTTCAAGAACTTTGTTATGATGTCCATGTCATAGTGATCATCACCCCGTCCTAAGGATTCTCCCAAAGCCTAGAACAGAAGAAAAGAGGTAATTAAATAGGGTAAGTTCAGGTTAGATATAAGGAAGAAGTTCTTTACTGTGAGGGTGGTGAGGCACTGGCACAGGTTGCCCAAAGAAGTGGTAAATGCTCCATGCCTGGCAGTGTTCAAGGCCAGGTTGGACAGATCCTTGGGTGACATGGTCTAGTGTGAGGTGTCCCTGCCCATTGCAGGGGGTTGGAACTGGATGATTTTAAGGTTCTTTCCAACCCAAATCATTCTGTGATTCTATGAGTTAGTTCCAAGTTGTCTAGAAGTCTGCCACGACCACCACAGCAGAGCACGATTCTCTGCATTGTGAGCTCTAACAGAGTCCAGCAGTAATCCAACACACAAGTTATGAAACGGAATGCAACAGCTATATATGCTCCTGATATTCATTAATCTATTAAAAACATTACAGTCAAAAAGCCAATATGATTATTTCTGCAAAGTCACTGCAACAGCAATTTTTCATTCATTAACCACTAAATGATTGGCATCATTAGCAGCTGTTTGACAGCACTGCAGGAAGGGGAACTGTGGGTGTGCTGCATTTGCTGAGATCCCCAAAGCCATCAATTAACCTAATTATTTTGTTAAGCTATTCCAATTCTCTGTTGTTGTGGGGCTGTTTCCCATTTCATTTCATTGCAACTGTGAAATTGAGTGAACAAATCTACTAAAACCCCAAAACAACAAACCACCACAAATCCCCAGCAGTGTGCTCCAATACCCAAACCTCAAACCTGCTAACACTAACACCCCTTTAGAGAAACATTTCCAGGCGGTAGAGTTGGATTTATAATCTATTTTGCTTGTTCTCACAATACCAATGTGAGTCTTATTTAAAGTATCTCATAGATTTGGAACCCAATTCAGTGTAAGCCTTTATGTAAGTAGTTAAAGTAATATAAAATTAAGACTGAAGTGTATTCAAACAAAAGATTACTTTCATGGCTCAAACCAAGCCTGCCCCACAACCCCAAAAAGGGGATATTTTGAGAGCTAACAGAAGGGTAAAATGCAGCCCCATTACAACTGCTATCAGTGCTGGTACTACTGTTATTTTAAACCAGGACCCCTGGTATCCTAACAAAAAAGCCAAGGACTATATCCTAATAATAATTCAATCATTTAAGTTTTCCATTATAAATCAGATTATTTCTTAAGCACACTTTTGGAGGCACATTATGAAGATTAACTCCTGCAAAGGATTTTAAAGATTAAGGGTAAAAGTCTGCAGCTGAAGTTAATGTGCTGTTCCAAATTTTACCCTGAAATCCCAGGTGCTGGATGCATTTCACAGCACTCATTCTCCACTCACTTTCACAAATACCATGGTGCTCCTTCAGAACAGAGGAGCCATTGCACTGAAGTTTCTGGGACACATGGTCTCTGCATTTCTGATATCTCCTGTGATCTGCCTACTTCTGATATTCACTTCTTTTTTTGTCCTAGATCATTTTATATCAGACATTCTTCCTGTGTGTCTATTTTTCAGAGTCCCATCTTTCTGGTATAGGGAAAATTCAGCAGTACTAAGCCTATTACCCTCTCAGATACCTATTGGAAAGGCTTTAGAATTTATGACCAGGTAATGTATTTGTATCAAATTCTCTAATTCTAACTCTAACTCCTCTGCAGAGGGAATCCTAACTGCATTACTTTCCTTGCAGGCAACTCTTACCCCTCTTTGATGAGGTATTGTTAACAAAGACCACTTGGATACTGTAGGCCCCTATGGTGCAACCCAAGACCATATTTAAGGATACTTCAGAATGCCCAAGCTCGATGCTGAAAACAAGGTAAGTTTGTCAAAACAAACCTGACAAAAAAGCTTTCTCACAAAAATGTACTACATCTAAAATCCCTTCATTAAAATCTACCCATCACATACCTCTAGTTCTTCAATAGTAGTGTTTTCCTCATGGACTTTCAAGTCATTCTGTGAGTCATCATCTCCTGCTTCTTGGCCGCCTACGATTTCATTCAGATACTGCTGGTCAATCTTATCCAAAGCAGCCTTCAGGTCATTTCTTAGACCCTAGAAAAGGTGAGAGATGACCATTTTACAATAAACCCCTCAGGTAAATAAAAGCAGTTCAGTACTGTCACTGTGAGCATTCAACTTCTGTTTAAGAGAAGCCAAATTCTGTAAAAACGTGCATAAAGGTTTAGCTTTGTGGTCTGAATTTAAACTGAGTTCAGAGAACAGTTTCTGGATTGCTTCAGCACTTCACAAAAAGCAGGTGCATCAACTTCTGCAATGTTCAGACCTGTGAAAAAGACTTAAACCATACTTTCACCAGAAAACCATGGAGGATTGCATCGACTTCTAGGACTTTCTTCAAGACATTTACTTGAAGCAATGCATTGAATCACCCCCAAACAAACAGAAAACAGACCAGAACGCTCACCAGTTCTACAAGTCTTCCCATCTGCCCTGAAAAGAGCTGTAAATAAGGTTAACACTCCTTCAGTACTATCCCATAAAACATTTATGTAGTTTCCCTTTATTACTGATAATTTAAGCATAGCAGAATGGTTCATATAGATTAAGTGTTTAAAATCCCCTAGGTTTTAGGTGGTTAAAAAATAGAATCAGTTTAAAATCACATATATAAAGTTCAGAGCTGCTTTTAAATAGAGTAAGACTCGGCTTAGTCACAGTTAAAGGACAGACATTACTATCTTGAGACATAAAATGTAAAGGAGTATGACATTTCTTACCCTACGATAAATTTAGCCACTCCACTGGGAACAGCTTTGCACAGTTATTTCCTCTCTTTCGTCATCAGACTTGACTGTCTGGAGTGGTTTTATTAATCATTTAGAAGTCTAAAAACGCCTGAACCACAAACAGTTATAGTGACTATCTACATTTAAGCAACACATTGTGGCTGAAACATACAAACACAAAAATCCATCACAATCCTATTTATGAGCTCACTATTTCCTAATACTCCTACTACTGTCATTGCTGTCACTGGAGGGGCAGCTTTCATTAGCTCAAATACTCATATTTCAACATTTAGTTCTGTTTATTTAAGACTTGAACAGGAAAAGGCTTTTCTTTTATGGGCAGCCCCAGTTAAAATGTTTCAAACAACTCAGTTTGCCACAAATTAGGGAAGAAAATCCCAACTGTCATTTTCTTAGCTGGGTTGCAAACTTGATGAACCATGAATGCAAACCTCAACTGCATCTCCTCATTTAACTGATCTATTAAGACAAAAGGAATAAATAGGTTAACTATGGTCTCTTTTAGTCTTTTTTTTTATTTGGTTGTAACTTTAAAGGGAAGTGGTGGGAAATGAAGTTTCCACAAGTTTTTGATGAAAAATCATCACATACAAGTAAGACAGGATGCAGCCTTCCTCTTCCTTACCTGTACCTTCTCAGGGATGCATATAATCACAAACACAGGATAGTTTTAACAGTAAATGACTGTCTCTGCTGGTTGAAAGCAGGTTAACAGCACAGGCTGGGCTATTACTGCCACCCAGAGGCTAATTTTTCAACTGAAAAGGTTTCGAGGGTTTAACTCTTTAACAGAAGGAATTGCAATTGTGAGCAAAATGATGACATTTAGCATACTTTCTCAGGCAATAAATGAGAGGGAGCAGATGTTTCTCTTTGCTCTTTACTACACCTCCCTCCTGAAAATTATAAGTTACTGAAACTGATTTTCAGTAACTTTTATAGGGCTTCTCACTGGTTATCCCACTACAAATAAGTAACTAATTCATAACAAGCCAGTCTTACCTTGTTCACTTCAGGTGCAAGAATTTCTATCTTCCTCAGGCGCTGAAATGCATCATAGTCTGTTTCCCCAAACAGCCTGATGGGCTCACCTCTCTCTCGTAACCTCCTGATAACCTGGGAAGAATCAAAGCATTCCCTTACACAAACTCGTAGAGGAAGCAAAATACAATCCAGAATGACTGATCTATTTACTTTGCTTAGGATAACAACCTGAGCTGGGCTGGAAAGGAAATGGCAATATTTTAAGCAGTAGAAAAATGTTCCAGACACTTTACAATCTAAATATAAAATTCCCACAGTATTTCAGGGAAAGGTCATTCAAAACATTACCAGTTTTGCCTAAAATCCCAGGCTGTTTGATATAGCCTAACTTCTTCCTGCTCTGACTTGTTTACACAAATACACAAAATCATCCCTCTGTCCCAGCTTACAAACTGTTCTCAAAATCGCCAAGGAGCCTGACAATAATCTCACTCACCTACTTGCATAGGGCAACAAAACCACTCTGTTACCAGGCTGCAGGTTGTTCCAGCGCATCTGCAAGATGATTTGCTAAAAGTTCTCATTCTTAAGCAGAAAAGCTGTGAGTGCCCCATCCCTGGCAGTGATCAAGGCCAGGCTGGACAGGGCTTGGAGCAACCTGGTCAAGTGGAAGGTGTGCCTGCCCGTGGTAGGGGTTTGGAGATTTAAGGTTCCTTCCAACCAAAACCATTCTATGATTTACCAAAGAATCATAAAATAGTTTGGATTGGAAAGGACCTTAAAGTCACCCAATTCCAATCCCCCTGCCATGGGCAGGGACACCACACACTAAATCACATTACCCAAGACTCCATCCAAACTGGCCTTGAACACCGCCAGAGATGGAGCATTCACAGCTTCCTTGAGCAACTCATTCCAGCACCTCACTACCCTCACAGTGAAGAACTTCTTCCTTATATCTAACCTGAACTTCCCCTGTTTAAGTTTAAACCCATCACCCCTTGTCCTATCACTACAGTCCCTAGTGAAGAGTCCCTCCTCAGCATCCTTATGGGCCCCCTCCAGACACTGGAAGGCTGCTATATGAAGTCCCTAATCCAATGGGACAATTACTTTTAAAGTAGATATAAGAGAGGTGAAAAAGCCTCCCTCAACTGACTTGCAAAATCATGGGCAGAGCCAAAAACTAAACTTTATTCTCCTGATTCCTTATTTTACACATTGCTGCAAAATCTCTTTATACTTAACCATTATTCATTTAGTGTATTAGGCAACAGGCTTACTGATATATCACAAAACCAAGGATGGAGAGACTCCTGGCACAGCAACACCTAAACCTCATCCACCCAAGTAGTTCAATAGCAGTGAGATAGTGTGCACTACACAGGACGTAAGAGACCAAGCCTCAAACCAAACATGAAACCAACAGCCAACATTGCAAGTCTTGTGATATGCCCCTGGGAAAAACAGCAAAATTAAGGGGACATGTGACATCACTGGATTATCTCAGCTGTGAATTTCAGTATTTCCAAGATTAGAATTTAGTCTGTGCTTCTAAGCTTCCTGCTTCTCCTCTGCTTTGAGGCATAGATGTATTTCTGAACTCATATTCACACAGGTATTTTTAACCTTGCAAAAAAAAAAAAAAAACCAAAGAACACAGCAGCTGCTCTGACTTCAGGAATGTTTCTTCTAGAAATCAAGGTGAACTTCCAAAACTTAGTTTCTTTTAGGTTCAGAACAATTAAGAAAAAGAAGCTGGGGGGCATGGGGAGGGATTCCTGGGAAAAAAAGTCAGTATGCCATCTTCAGTATCAGTATTATCCAAAGAAAATAGTGATATTTAGGGTCTAATCCAGAAGCCATCTGAAAGAGCTGTAAAATATTATAGCACATCTGTGCATATCCATATGACAAAGGGGTTCTACCTATCTGTACCTCCATATGCATTCAATTGGACAGCAGATCCTTGATGAGTGAAGATGATCATCAACTGAGACACTGTTTAATACAGCTGCCATAAGAAGTACAGTTCACTGGGAAAACCAGCATTAACAAGAGACTTCAGATGCACTTGCTCTAAAATCAAGAGGACTGTGACAATTGATTTTACCTCCTGTCTGGAAAGGGTCATTGGTAACTTTTCTTCTGCTAGTTCGAGCTCCAGCACTGGATTTGACGAAGTCAGTGGTTTCTCTTCCTCTTCTTCCTCCTGTACCTACATTCAACAGACAGTTACTAAGCTCTCAGTGCAAACAATCCTATATGTTACTAGCAATGTGAAGATTCAGAACTCTAACACAGATTTTAATATAACAATAGAAACCTTTAGTTTCATAGATTTTGTTGTCTATCACAGAACAATAAAAGCTTTTAGAAGTATCAGTATTAAAGTAACACTTCTGCAGGTTGCAGGTAGCAGTCTCTAGAGCAAATGGAAAGCATAATTGCTGAAGTTTGCCAACCACTTTAACAGGCAGATGTCAGCACTGGTGCCGAAAATAGCAAATCCAGCCTTTGCTTGTTGATTCCTGCCCCTGCTTTTTACTACTTCCCCATGCAAAAGCATCTGCATTACCATGTGATGAACCAGATGGGGGAAATGATTTAAACAGAAAACAACCTGGCAAACACAAAGAAAGGACCCTTCCCAGCCCACTTAACTCCTCATCCAGCTCACCAGGCACAGCACATGCATGAATACAAGGGCAGAAATGAAAATCCAAGGGTAGGGAGAGAATGGGACTGCTTCTTTTGGTGCAACTGCAGCTTAAAATGTTTATTACCCATAGCTTCAGTGAGGCAAGTACTATTAGCAGCGATCCATGGCTTCTTCAAGGTTTTGAGAAGTGCTTTGATACAGTAACAACATCTTTCTAACAAACTTGTCATAGTTTCTTATGGGTTAAAGGAAAAAAAAAGGGAAAAAAAAGACACCTACAGCTCCTCATAGGGATAGTATCTCATTAGCAACTCCTCTTAATCTAAAAGCAGGTCCCTGAATCAAACAGAGCTTTCCTTCTTCATTACTCCATATTTTAATAAAGGAAACCAACTCTGTGATCAAAGGAACTTTGAGACAGCAGCCATGGAACTACAGATCCCTTTATAAGCTCAAGTGTGACACTTCTGACAGCATGAGCAGACTGCTGTTGGTAGTATTCCTTTAATAAGGGCATTTCCAGTACTCACTCATATCTTGTTTTTTTCCTAAATTCCTTAGTAGAATTTATTTCCTTTCCATACTTGCTAAAAGGGAAACTTAATCCTACAGCACTCTGCAGCATTCTCCTTGTGTGGGCAGCACACTGTCACTCCCAGTCTGCATTCAGGCTGATCAATTTGATGAAGGTATCAGACATGATTTGGTTTTAAAGAAGCTTTTCTATTCTTTCAGGCCAATGACTGAGTCTTGCACACAGGTGTCAGCATGACTCCATGTGGCTGTAAGGATTCACCCCCATGGCACCAGCTACAAGATTTGGCCACAAATCTATACTCAAAACTATTCTAGCAAACACAGAAAACAATCCTACAAGCACAGCTGTTTCTCCAAACAAGGGAAGGACAATCCAATCAATGCTTAACACAAAGGGCAGGGAAAAAGAAAACTTCCACCAGTGCAGGAAAGGAGGAATTGATGGGGGAGAGAAAATAAGGAACAACTGTGAAAATATATACAGGTATAAAGAAGTACACTCCCATGGCAGAAGGATATATACAAAATTTAACTTACAAACACTCTGGAAATCATAAAGAGACAGCAGCATTGAGGGAAAAGATTTGATCCATTCTGTCAGCTAGACTCCAAGTGATATCTTTACCACAGTTATTTTTGTTTCAGTGCTTTCTTCAAGCAAGTCAAATTATTACAATTCCTTAAGTTTAAGCAAAGCAAAACAGCTCCTGAATTAAAAAAGAAATCAGTCTGTATTCTACATGTCATGAAGATTGCAAAGATCAAATGCAGAAATCTGGGAGGCTCTAAAAAGGAACTAAACTAAACAAAGCAACTTATTTTAAAACCATTATGCAGGGTCACATTTCAAACCAAACCTGGTGCTGCAGCAGCACAGACAGCACCGTTTGAACAACCATGGATGGTTCTGAAGGATTCAAACCAATACTCAGAAGCATCATGGAGTATTTCCACTTGGAAGAGTGACTGGATTCACAGAACATTTTCTCATGACTATATACTGCAGGTTCCGAGAATCATTTTGGCTTTGATGTTCAAATATTATACAAACAGATCAAGGTTTCAGAATAAGCCACTGACTCCGTAAAGTTCAGCTGAAAACAAAGCTCCTGTTTGTGCCCGGTAACAGCAAACAAGATTACAAGCCTTTATCTTCCCCAAGGGAATGCATCCCCCCTCCCATACACAGATAATCAGGCAGCAGGCAGACACACACACTGGTAAACAAAAACAAACATTCTCTCCAGTCCAGGACACTATCGCCCTGACACCATCACAAGGCAGATAAAGCCTTCCAGATCACTCATTTGTTGCAAAATGTACCCTGGGTTACCAATTGTTTTCTCATATTTTGCCAGCAAGACAATAAATGTTGCTGTTGCACAGTTTCAGTGCTGGATGGTTGATGGCCAAAACCCAAATACACAGTATGAAAGCTGGCAGCTCTTTTCAGTGTGCACCCACACTGTACTGATTTTTTCTGGACATTTGACAAGACTGTAAAAATTGTCTGAATGGATAGAATTATCCAAAGATATCCATTATTTTCCTGATAAGGGAGCAGGGAGAGAGGGGAAGGTGGCTGTATCAGATCCAGTGTTCATGCCTAACAGCACAGCTTAAAAAGAAAGGAAGACAAGCTTTGATCCTAAGCCACTTCATGCTTTCCACAAAAATAAAGAAGGAAAGAAAAGAAAGAACAGCCAAACCATAACACAAACTTAAGTAGCTGTATATCATGCACATCTTTTCCTGCATTGAAAATGGGTTTGGAAACTCATACCTCTCCAGGTGGCTTCTCATTTACTGGCTTATGCATACCATTAACAGATTGAACAAAGAACAACAATTATCATTAACAACATTTATACTGTTGATAATCAAATGCAGACTTCAAAGTAAACATGCAAACTCCTGGAAGAGCAGGTGCCATACCTTGTAGCCACATCTCTGGAAATAGGCCTCCTCTTCTTTTTTAGCTAACTCACTGCGTTTGAAATATTTCTTACTTCCCTAAAAGAGAGGAAAGCTGTTAACAATTCAGTTTCACATCCCTGGTGGAAAATGGCTCAAACTTCCTTACTTGATTTGGTGAATTCAGCTACATCCTTTCAGAGAGATGTCTACATTGTCATCTAAAGGGGACTAGTTGAAAGAACCTCTGAAAATCTGCAATATAGTGACTTTGCAGCATATGTGGATGAGCAGACTTAAAAGCACAATGTGTTCACCAGCACTTTAACAAACCACATATTTTGCCATGTAAGGCCTTGGTACTTATCAGCACAAAGCTGATGTGCACAGCCAGGCCCAGGTTGGAGCACAGCAAAGTTGCTGAAATAAACCACACAACAGATGCCATTTTATAGTAAATTAAGGAGGTGTGAGAAATCACCTTTGTATAAAGCATGTTGTAAGCTTGATGGTGCACCAAGCACACAGAAATGTGTTTGATGAGACCTCCCAGACACCCTGAAGCATTTCCCTTGATAGACATAGAACTATAGAAAGGTTAGGGCTGGAAAGGACCTTAAGATCATCCAGTTCCAGCCCCCCTGCCACAGGCAGGGACACCTCACACTAAACCATGTCACCCAAGGCTCTGTCCTACCTGGCCTTAAACACCACCAGGGACGGAGCATTCACAACTTCCCTGGGCAGCCCATTCCAGTGCCTCACCACCCTCACAGTAAAGAACTTCCTCCTTATACCTATCCTGAACCTCCCCTGTTTCAGTTTGAACCCATCATCCCTTGCCTGTCTCTACAATCCCTAATGAAGAGTCCCTCCCCAGCACCTTTACAGGCCCCCTTCAGATACTGGAAAGCTGCTATGAGGTCTCCACACAGCTTCTCTTCTCCAGGCTGAACAGCCTCAACTTTCTCAGCCTGTCTTCATATGAGAGGCGCTCCAGCTCTTCCTTCATACTTTGCCTACAAAACCCTTCAACCCCAGCTCCCTACTTCAACCACTATCACCAAAACCAAACTCAAGACATCCATGAAGATAGCCTGAGAAAGTTGGGGCGGTTCAGCCTGGAGAAGGCTGCATGGAGACCTCATAGCGCCTTCCGGTATCAGAAGAGGGCCTATAAGGCTGCTGAGGAAGGACTCTTCATTAGGGACTGTAGTGATAGGACAAGGGGTAAGGGGTTCAAACTGAAACAGGGGAAGTTTAGATTGGATATAAGGAAGAAGTTCTTTACTGTGAGGGTGGTGAGGCACTGGAATGGGCTGCCCAAGGAAGCTGTGAATGCTCCATCCCTGGTGGTATTCAACGTGAGGCTGGACAGAGCCTTGGGTGACATGGTTTAGTGTGAGGTGTCCCTGCCCATGGCAGGGGGCTGGAACTGAATGATCTTAAGGTTTTTTCCAACCCTAACTATTCTATGATTCTATGAAAGCACTGCAGTACTGTGAGTGCTTTCAGTTAACACACTTGGCACACCCAAACCTCTCTGTTATTGACTATTTCTATGCACAGAATGCAGCAGTGCTGAGGAAAGGGAACTGCACTTTGTTCACCAAAGGTCACACAGACTTCTCTCCTCTCTCAGTGCCTGAATCATGGAACAGTTTGGGTTGGAAGGGACCTTAAAGCTCACCCTGTTCCAACCTACTGCTACAGGCAGGGACACCTTCCACTAGAGCAGGTTGCTCCAAGCCCCTTCTAACCTGGCCTTGAACACTGCCAGGGATGGAGCAGTGTCCTCTTCATGTCCACTTACATTCTGAAAACATTCATATCGATGCTTTGTCACTCACCCTGTGTTTAAGGGTAATTTTTGCCGAGCTGCACAAATAAATAACTAAACCACCCCCAAAAGGCAAAGGCACACAATGAGGCCCTACAGCAAGGTCCAGGCTGCTTCTGCACCCCCAATCTTCTCCCAACTCCTTCCCCACCCTATCCTGGGCCGCTCCTGCTCCTTGTCCCCAAACCCCACCCAGGGACGTTCGTGCCTCCCCAACCCATTCCTAATACCCCCAAACGCGTTCCTGCGGCAGCTCCGGATTCCCTTACCCGAGCGCCTCCCCCCTCCCGGGCCGCTCTCACCTCACCCCGCCCCGCCCGTCCACCTCAGGCCGGTCCCGCCACCCTCCCCACCCGAGCAGCTGCTGGTGGCGGCCCTCTCACCCCCAGGAGCTCCTTCTCCTCCAGCTGCTGCCGCTTCCGGCTGATCTCTCCCTTCAGGATATCCATAGCGGCCCCACCACCACCACCGGAACTGCCGGAGCAAAACAGTAGCGTCGCTTCCGGGCGAGCCGCAAGGCCACGTGCAGCGCCCCCTGGTGGCTCGGAGGAGCGATGGGGGGTAGGTGATAGTGTGCGACAGAGCGCGACATGGCGATAGTGTTTCTGTGCACGGCCGGGCGATGCTCCGAGGTGGGTGTGGATGCTCTGGGGCCAGGGAGAGAATGGGGCTGGTCACTGAAACAGGGGAATGATCAGCGCTGGTCGCTGGACCCAGGGATGGCGTCAGGATGTCAGGATCTTCTCTCAGGAACAAGTGATAGGACCAGAGGAAATAGCCTCAGGTTGTAGCAGAGGAGGTTTACATTTGATACTGGGAAAAATGCCTTCCACACAAGGGTTGTCAAGCACTGCACAGGCTGCCCAGCGCAGTGGTGGGGTCACCATCCCTGGAGGTGTTTAAAAGATGTGATGCTCAGGGGCATGGTTTTGTGGCGGACTTGGCTGTGCTGGGTTAATGGCTGGACTCATTGATCTTAAAGATCTTTCCCAACCTAAAATGACACTATGGTTTTATGCCACCCCACAGAAGACACCCTAGATTACCTGTACACATCAGCCCAGCTAGAAACCCATTATGGAGTTTATTAAAAAGGGATAAGATGTAGACTTAGGTAGAGCGCCAGAGCTGTGTGTGGGGCAGAGCTTTAGCATGGAGCTGTAGCTCTCAGTGTTGCTGTGGACAGACATGGGACCATACTGCTGAATCCACCACAGGTACCAGAACTCAGCTTTCCATAAAGCTGAGGTGAATGCTTGGAACTACAGCTGTAGCTTACCAATTGCTGGTAACAGAAGTGATAAGTGATGTAGAGATTGTGTTTACCCCTTCTTGAGCTTGCTTTTAATCTCACAGAATGGCCATACCCTTCATGTCCTTACTCTCTGGCCCAGAGGTGTATTAAAGAGGGAGAATATTAAGGTGTGTAGATGTGCACTTAGGGACATGGTTTGGTGGTGGACTTGGCAGTGCTGCCTAGGTTAACGGTTGGATTCAGTGATATGAAAGGTTTTGTCCAACCTAAATGATTCCATTATACTGATCTCTGGCCACAAGGAGTACCCAAGGAATGCACAGCCTGGCCATTGGAGGGAAGGGCCCCAAAGGAAATCACAATTTCATAGAATCACTTAGTTTGGAAAAGACCTTTTAGATCATCGGTTTCAGGTGTTTTTACCAATGTTTTTAGTTGTTGCTAAGCAGTACTAAGTCAAGGACTTCTCAGCTTCTTATGCTGCCCTACTGAGTGAAGCTACACTGTGTAGGGTTTGATTGAGATGGGAGAGGTTTGTACTCCCTCTCTCCTGTGTACCTGAGACACTGTGCTGGGATTTAACTGTGATGCCTGTTTTCTGCCTCCTTCAGGCCTGGATGACTGAGGTAGCTGGTAGGGACTGAGCCCTTTAGCATGTATATCCTGGAAATAAAATCTACTGCCTTTGCTAGCTGGAGTCCTTGTCACCAGGCATACAGCATTTGTGATCCAAGTAATAACACAAAGAAATCTTGGTTTGCTTATTTACCTAGTTTTGCCCAGCAATTTCCATCCCGTGGCTAGTAAGCTCCAAGAGGTCCAGATAAAGCTTTGAAGAATGAGTAAGAAGAACCAATTCTTACTATGCTTAAATCCATCAGGGCTACACCTTCGCTGGAGACAAAGGCAGAACAGTGAAGGGTGAAAGTCACTGTAACCAGCTCCTCTGCTTTGCTTGGGAGGAGCCTGGCTGGTGGCAGCACCTCTGTCTCCTCTAGTTTCATAGTATATGGCACAAAACAGCTTCTGCATCTCTAAGTCGCACCGTGGCTCTTTCTTGCAGAAAATGGCCTGTTGCATTAAGGGTGTTGTTTAAACCCAAGCTGGAGGGGTCTGGATTTAGAAACCAGTCCCTGCTTTATCTCAGGCTTGAATGCCATCACTCTGCAATGAGGAAGGACGAACAGACCTACACTTTTTCATAGCTGTGCTCAAAGGAAATTACCTCACATCTGATGGTGAAAGGATCTGGGAATGTCTCAGTAAAGACACCCAAGGAGGGTTGTGCCCACACTTGGATAAAGGCGTAAATTTGGAAGCTATAGGAATACTCTATAATGAACTTTATCTGGATGGTTGTGTCTGAGTGACAACTGCCCTCCCCTCAGTTAACTGTAGTGTAGACATTACCTTAGAGCTTACTTCATTTTCTTCTCCAGTTTGTCCTGGTTTTGGCTGGGATGTAGTTAAATTTCTTCCTAGTAGCTGGTACAGTGCCGTGGTTTAGATTTAGTATGACAATAACATTGATAACACACCAATGTTTTCAGTTGTTGCTAAGCAGTGTTTATACTAAGTCAAGGACTTTTCAGCTTCTCATGGCCTGCCAGCGAGGAGGCTGGGGGTGCACAAGAAGCCAGGAGGGGACACAGCCAGAACAGCTGATCCAGACTGGCCAAAGAGATATTCCATACCATATGGCATCATGCTCAGTATATAAACTAGGGAGGAAGCTGGCTGAGGGCCACTGCTTGGGAAGTGGCTGGGCATCAGTCAGCAGGTGGTGAGCAATTGCATTGTGCATCACTTGTTTTGTATATTCTAATTCCATCATTATTATCATTATTATAATTTCCTTCCCTTTCTGTCCCATTAAACTGTCTTTATCTCAACCCATGAGTTTTCTCACTTTTACTCTTCTAGTTCTCGCCCCCATCCCACCAGGGGAGAAATGAGCAAGTGGCTGCATGGGGCTTATTTGCCAACTGAGGTTAAACCACAACATGCATTTTATCTCAATTAGAGACAGTACAAAATGGAGGAAAGCCAGCTCATCCACAGTGTTCACCAGAATGATGCAGTTACTGTGAGGTGACACCTAGACCAAAGATCTCCTAGTTTATAAAAATCAAAGCAAACCAGCAAGGTGGCAAGGAGGGGTGAATGGACAAGGAAAGCAGATGAAAAGTTTACATTGGTAGATCAGCTTTGGCTATGTTTGAAATTCACGCTGTAGCTCTAAAAGGTGTCTAAAAGTTCACTAACAATGACGAAACCTTCCATGATCGGTTTAGTGCCCAGTACTCCTGGTTCTGTGCTCTCTTGCCTTCAAATCAAAGCATCCTTTAATGTAAATCCCCTCTGTAATCAAGACAGTTGTCTTGTCCTATAGAAGAGAAGTGGCAATCTATAAAGTACAACATCTCCCAAAGGAGTTAATGTATGAAAATATATATGTTTGCTTCGTTTGTCCTCAGGGTATTCACCAGTATCTCCCTGAAGAGGGAAAACTAAAAAAAAAAACCACTTTGGTGTTATCCATCCTCAAGATTTCTCTTTTTGAAGACAAAAGAAGTAAAAGAAATGGTAGTACCTTCTTTTTATTTCACTGACAACTCATGAGGAAATCCCCCTCTCTGGTTTCCAGGTTGGCAAATCTGTTTGAGTCCTCTTGGCCCTGGGGTCAGGGCAAGATTTTCTGAGGGACATGCATAGTTGAGATGGTTCGGTCAGGTCTCAGCTGGACTCAGTTAAAAGATCCTCTGTTCCTCAGAACATATTTCGGAGGGTATATATATACTAGCAATTCATTATGGTCCCTGCCTTCTTTGTTATGGATCTCATCCTTTAACTGTCTGCATTCACACACACTTCTTGGTTGTAGGGTGATATCTGGAGCACCACTTGCTGGACAAAGGTGCCCACGAAAGCTCACACTATGAGCTGTGCTCCACGGACGACACCATGGAAGCTATTCCTCCACACCATAACAGGGTTACTCTGAGTCTCCATTGTTCCAAGGAGCCTTTAGACTGTGGAAACTGCTTAGCAGTGTGTTACAAAAGCAGACAATTCCTTTCCTATGCCAGTCCCTCATCCATGCAATGACCCTTTTGCTGATATGAATGCACAGATATTTTTAATAAGTGAAATGGGTGCTTTTCCAAGCTGTATTTCAAACTACCAATTTATCATAGATGGCATTACTCTATTCATCAGAGTCAATTAGATCACTGCTATAAATCCTTAGCTTGTTTTCCACTGCTCCTGTTTTGCTTTTCAGGGCTATACTGCTGGTTTGCTATTGGTTGGCGTATTTCTGTCTCACATGTGATTCATATATGTTATATTTGCTGTTAGGGCTGTTAAGCTCCCCCAAAACCACTTGCAGAGTCTTCAGAGCACACTGCAACTGAGATGGGTCTGGAAGCAATAGTGTTACCCATGTTTTTCCTAGATCCAGGTTTCCGCAGACCTCTGGAACAACCCCACAAAGTTGACCACAAAGATACTTTGAAGTAATTTGTTTCACAACATTCCATATGAAACTAAGACTGAAAAGGGAAATCTAGAAGTTACTCAAAATCTTGGAACATTCATAAGAGCCTTGTATGTAATAGAAATACAAGCTTAAAACATACACGAAGTGTTTCATTCCAGTTTCTTGATGATTAAGTGATTACTCAGCTTTATCTGCTGTAAGCCAACTGTCAACTTACAGGAAGCTTATTGAAGGCAGCTCAGAAATACGTCATTTCAGTCAAACAACCCAGATGTCATCTATTTGGCCAAGTGGTAAAGCTATCAGAATTATTTTAGTTGTGCTCAGTTGCATTCAGTTTATATTTAGATGTTTTCAGGTTGTATTCAGTACTTTATGGGTATCCAGTTTCACTTTTCTATTTGATATTAAAACAGGGGAAAACCCCAGCTCAGCCAGCATATGCCTTCACTCATACACAGGAGGCAGAACTGATGCCTTACAGCTGACTGTGATTGCAGAAGAACTCATTTCAGGTAACGCAGGGCACAGATCACTCCTGGAAACCTTTTTCAGATAGGTACATGGGTCCTTTTATTCATCTTCAAAATACTATAAAAAGAAAGATATTTGATAAAATTGCCTTCATAATATGACTAAATGTGTCTGCTTTGGCAAAGGGAGCTCCACATCCAGTCTCACTCTTCATTTATTAAGGCAGTTGTTAATCTACCCAGTTTCTTATTCTTCACCCCCACATTTACTTTGTTTACAGGTATATGGCTTGTCACATCCACAGGTCACTTCCACATGCATGACAGTTTGTTCTAAGGAGGCATGGTAGCACTTTTTATGAAGTTTACAAATTGCACTTCCCTATAATGCTTGCATTGGGCACGTGCCCTTCCCCTCCATTTAGGGATTTGAGCCTCTCATACTAGGCTTGCTATTTCTTATTACCTTTCATAGAATCATAGAACTAGCTAGGTTGGAAAAGACCCTTAAGATCATCCACTCCAACCATTATCCCAGGACTGCCAAGGCCACCACTAAACCATGTCACTCAGGGCCTCATCTACACATTTTTGAACACTTCGAGGGACGGTGACTCCACCACTGCACTGAGCAGCCTGTTCCAATGCCTGACTGCTCTCTCAGTGAAGAAATTCTTCTTAATACCCAATCTAAACCTCCCCCGGTGCACCACGAGGCAATTTCCTCTTGTCCCATCCCTTGTTCCTTGAGAGCAGAGCCCAGCCCCTCCTGGCTCCATCCTCCTCTCAGGCAGTTGTAGGGAGCGATGAGGTCCCCACTGAGCCTTCTCTTCTCCAGACTGAACCCCCCAGGTCCCTCAGCCGTTCCCCATCACACTTGTGCTCCAGGCCCTGCACCAGCTCTGTTGCCCTTCTCTGGCCCTGCTCCAGCACCTCAATGTCTCTCTTGCAGTGAGGGGCCCAGAACTGAACACAGGATTCGAGGTGCAGCCTCACCAGTGCCCAGTGCAGGGGCACAGTCACTGCCCTGGCCCTGCTGCCGCACTGGTGCTGATACAGGCCAGGATGCTCTTGGCCTTCTTGGCTGCCTGGGCACAAGCTGCTCATGTTCAGTTCCATCAGTGGGCACCTCCAGATCCTTTTCTGCCAGACAGCTTTCCAGCCACTCTTCTCCAAGCCTGTAACATTGCATGGGGCTGTTGTGACCCAAGTGCAGGACCCGGCATTTGTTGAACCTCATACAATTGTCCTCAGCCCATCGACCCAGCCTGTCCAGATCCCTCTGCAGAGCCTCCCTATCCTCCAGCAGATCAACACTCCCACCCAGCTTTGTGTCACCCACAAATTTCAGAGCTGCATAAACAGTAACACACAATCTGCTGGTCACAGGCTGAGAAAAACTCAGCCAGAGGGAAGACCGAGGAAGAAGTAGGAGGTAGGACTCCACCATGGGTGTCCAAAAGCCACTGGCAAAGACAAGAAAAGCTCACAGGGGAAGCAATGGCAGAAAAAAGTTCCTGAGATTTCTAACAGAAGTCTTCAAAAGGGTATATGACATCCGTGTACTGTTAGGGGTGAAAGGAGCAGGTGGCACTGTAATTCAGCGTGTTTTGCCTTTTAAAGTATCGTTAGTTCTCATGGTAAGTCAGCCCCTACAGTTCCTGTCTGCCGTGACAGACCTCTGTAAGGCACCATTAAAAGACTTAGGAAAGTAGTGACATCCATATGGACGTTACTGGTTAGTAAGGCTAGCATGGCTTTTAGAAACACACTTGAAGTAACAATTTGAATCATAATTATCCTCTAGTTTTCATAAAATCATAGAATTACAAAATGGTTTGGGTTGGAAGGGACCTTAAAGCTCATCCAGTTCCAACCCCCTGCCAGGGGCAGGGACACCTTCCACTAGACCAGGTTTTGATAAAGGAATGTTTAGGTGGATTGTTTAGGTTGTCTATAGGATGCATGGGTCAATTCCTATCCCAGCAGCTTTATTATCTGTAAAATTGAGGTGGGATAAAAACCTCACTATTGCTTCTAAAAAGCTTTACATTTAAGAAGGGCTAATTATGACCAATCAGGCTGCTACAGGAGATACCTTAGGAAAATTCTGTTGTATTGGTAATTCAGCCTATGTCACTGTGTCATTACAGCATCCAATGAATCCATCCCAAGCCATCACTAGGGAGACTGCGCTCTTTTGACAGCAGTGGCCATTTGTAACTGTTAAAAGAATTCAAAACACCTTCCAGGAAAATGATCATCCTGCTTTTTGTTGTTGTTGATGTTTCTGTTGATGTTCTTTCTAGAATAATACTGCAATGGTAGGTTCACATTAGCGGTGAACATACTTACTCTCAGTATCAGTCTGCACTACAGTTATCCAAGCAGCAAACTCTTTCCCAGAAGGATACAGGAGTAATCCCTGCAAGATGACAAAACAGTTTGTCCAACTTTTTTACAGCTGACAGTGAAATGTATTAATGTCATTCTTTCCTTTGTCCATTACCAAATACCATTTGGTATTTACCGAATATCCTCCTCCTGTTGAACAAGACTGAAGGTCCCAAAGATCCAAATCATCTTATCAAGATGTCTCTGCATTAATTTAACAATCATACCCAAGATTCAGATGAGTCAAGATCATTTCCTTCGGAAAGAAGAGTTTGAGGGGAGCGAAGAATACTGATAAAGTAACTTTAAAAATACTTGAAACATTGAAAAAACTTGGAATAAAATCCCATAGTACTGACAAGACTACCCTGAAGGTCAAAGAATGAGTAAGAGACCTGTAAAACATTCTAGCCTTTCATGTTTTAAGATTGTCTACACTGTAAATGAATAAATAAATAAAATGAAAAAGAATTTTTTTTTATCTGAGCATCATTAATTAGTCATGCACCATTTAGGATGTTCCAGGTGAGAAAAAGAGGCTTACTGGGATTTGTGGGAGATGATTGAACTTCTAGTTATGACAGAGGATCCCTGCAAATGCACACAGGTTTGTCAGATTCTGTGCACCGAGTTTTAGATCCATACAGTTGTCTCTCTTCTCAGCCTTCCCCAAAGCAAAGTCTGCGCTTCAGAAACATCAGGTTTGAGATGTTTTAACTGTATTCAAATTATAGGAGAATAAACAGAGACACCCACCCCCAATGCCAAAAGATCTCAATGGATGGTAGAAAAGCTCATTAAAACATCTATCATTCTTCAATTTTATGTGTACAGAAGATAAATGGTTGAGTGTCAAGTATTGTACTTCTAAGAGTTCATTAGCTTCTATTCAACTCAGGCAAGAAATCTCTCAAAGATGTTACTAAATGATCATACTTTGTGTTGTCAGTTTGATCCTTGCAGGATGTGTCCATCTCAGAGAAAATACCCATTCTGCCTCAGCAGAGAGGTCAAGGTTTGAATGGGTGATGGAGTCTTCAGTATCTACACATCTCTGAAGGGAAATCGGGGGTGGGCACATTAATGAAAATGCTGCTACATATATCTTACTGCTGAATAAAAGCAGCATTTTCAGATGTTGTCAGTCTCCAGCCTGACACAGATATTAAATTCACATAATCTCTCTTTAAAAAGTGCATGTGTGAGTAGATTTTGAACTACATTGTACCTTGCAATGAGATTTCATGTTTTTTTAGACCTGAAGAGCAGGCAGGTGGTTATGAACGTGTCTTAAGCTATTTCTGCAGCCTGAAATGTAAGGACTGTTTGAAAACATTTAGGGAAATAGAACATCTTAGTAGGATGCTGTAGCAACTTTTCATAAATTTATTTTAGCTTACATCAGTATTCTGAGCTACAAGGATTATAATTTAGTAGAGAGACTCTCATTGGGAGAGGGGATTGAAGGCATCGAGGCAGCAGCTCTGTGAGTTGACAGGGATGCTAATATAGCCACAGCAGAAGTTTAGAGAGCAGATCAGAGCAGCTGGGTGGGCTGATAGAGAGGATCAGGGCAGCCCAGAGGAGCAGTAAGAGGATCCAAATAAGTGGATTAGTAGCATACCAAAGCACGCATTACTTTTAGTTTTCAAACTCCCATTGATTTTAGTGCAAGTGCATTTACTAATGTGTGGCAAGAGAAATGGAAAAGGATCAAGGCAGAATTGAGACACAGGCTGTGGGAACAGCAAGAAGACTGGGCTGGGGACACACAGCACAATGTCCCCACATCAGCCTCAGTCAGGACTTAAAGGAGTATGGCTGTTGTCTGGGCTTCTTCATCCTGCACCCTCAAGGAGCTGTCTAACATTGCTAAATGCTATTGTGCCTGAAGCTGATTCTGCATTCATTTTCCATCCATAGCTCCAGTTACTGACTCTTTCCACTGCTGCACTTTTACATCTGCCTTCAGCTGCTGTGATTGAAGCAAACTGACACAAAAATGTAGGTATGATTAGTAGCATAACCTCTTTGAACTCCTCCTAGCAGGGGACTCACTGGGCTGCTGGGCCCTGAGCTGAGCTTGCTGCAATGTGTGCTTGCAGAATTCATCAGAAATGGGATTGCTTACCCTAGCTGTGCTCAGGCCACCATGATTAACTCCTGAACTACCCACAGCTCGAACATGCGCCTTCCTGGAATGCCAGCCTGGCTTTACACTTCATCCCTTTAGACAGAGATGGTAGTGGTGTAAAGACACATCCAGACTAAAATTTTAAGCACTATTACTCTTTATAAAGCACAGAAAAAGAGTGTTCCAAGCAAAATAATGAGCCCTACCCACATTGCCCTTAGTTCCCGTGAAGCACATTGCCTTGTAAGTGGGAGGGAAGGCAAAATTTGTGCAGCTTATGACTTTTCCATATTGCAGAGAAGCACAGGGCATGCATGTATATGGGTGGACTTCATTTACTCTTCCACATTAGCTTTCATAAAAGCGTAGAGTCCTTTTCTTCTTTATCCTCCAACCACATCTGTTGCTTAGAGCTCAGCCTCGTCACCCACTCATCCCAGAATTCAAATCCGAAAACTGGATTGTCCTAGGGAAGAATTAATACCTTAATATCCAGTTATCCTACAAGTATTTGATCAGAGCAAACTTTGACTTTTAGACTACGCTGGCCTTCCTCGCAGTCTTAGTCCAGGCCACACATAAAAAGACAGGAGGAAAAGCCCAGCCTTACAGCGGGGTTTGCATTCCGATACAGAAATATACAGAGGGTTTGTAACCACACACACAAAGAACACTTTGTACATAGAGTCAGTTATATTTTTTATTGTTGAAACAGTTCTGGAATGTTTTGGTCTCCCTGAGCTGGCAAACAGATGAAAACATTGTCCTGTATGTTTTTTTCTTTTAAATTTATATGAGGAAGATTAATGAGCAGCAGAATGGACAAGAAGCCATTTCAATACAGTGTCCTGAAGGAAAAAGAGAGTAACTATAGAGACATAATAAGATTATAGAATGGTTTGGGGTTGGAAAAAAACTGAAAGCTCATCCAGTTCCAACCCCCTGCCATGGGCAGGGTCACCTTCCACTACAGCAGGTTGCTCCCAGCCCCTGTGTCCAGCCTGGCCTTGAACACTGCAGGGATGGGGCAGCCACAGCTTCTCTGGGGAGGGAAGAACTTCTTCCTAATATCTAATCTAAATCTACCTTCTTTCTAGTTTAAAGCCATTCCCCCTTGTCCTGTCACTACATGCCCTTGTACATGCCCTCTCCAGCTTTCTTGAAGTCCCGCTTTAGGTACTGGAAGGATGTTGAGTACTGTAACTGGAATGGTACAGGAAAAACATAAGTGGGGTCAGAAAAGCTAAACTGCACTCCTAGCTTCAGACTGCTTCAGGACATCTGGAAACCTACCTCTGTAATGACCCAGTCCTTGGATATGGCAACATGAAGGCCTCCCAAAAGGGAAGGTTTGTAGTAAGACACAGCATCAACATCACCTATTTTCATGCTGGGAGCTGAGAAAAACACTGCCTGTGTATTTCATGTGACCACAAAAACAGCACTGGAAACCTGCAAGGGAAAAGCGCTACCACAGTTAGCACCTAAATCCTCAATGACATTCATTACACATAACTAACCAAAATAGCTAACTGATTAACCTGTCACCTGGGCAGCTCCTGATCTCCAATTTACCTCTTCAGCCCCCTTCTGCCTCCTAACACTGAACCTCTCCAGGCCCCAAGATGAGTAGTAATCATGGTGCTATTAATGTGACAGCCAGCAGCCTCCTCTTACTTCACCCAACCTTGCATGGATTCCTTGATATTAGACGTAAAGCTTCAGATCAAATCATCTAGTCTGTGTACTTTTTCCAGTATAATTCTCCTCAGCTCCAGGATTCTTCAGTCTTCTTTGTCCTGCACCATCTACTTTCTGACTAATAATCAAAATACTGCAATTAACTGGACACATCTGTGAGTCTGGAAGCAAAGAAAAAGTCTGGAACATCCTGATGTGGAGAGCACTGCTGCTGTTAATACTGAGGCATTACTGGATTAATTATATTTAATTGGTTAGTTTGGGATCTAGCAACTGAAATGGAAAAAAAAAAAGCATTTTACACACCAGAAGATTGCTGGGAAAATGAAAATCAGTTAGAATGGGGAGGGGATGCATTGAAAGTAACTTGCAGCATAATAAAAGGGTAACTAGGAAATAGGGATAATCATAATGACTTAGGGTATGTTGCAAGATAAAGCCCTTATTTAGTTGGCTAATTTCATGGCATTTCGAAAAACACAATTACTCAATTAATGGTTTGATTGAGGAAATTCTTTGTGACTCTTCATGAATATACACAAAATGCTCGGAATTGTCCATATTTTCACCAGAAAAAAAGGAACTGTGGGTTCTTAATATGTAATAATAACAACGGGATACTGAGACATGAACTGAAATAAAAGATGAAATTAGAAGCTGGCTGCCCCTTGGAGCCTGTGCACTTTATCCTAAGTCCCTCAGCTGCCACAGTGATGCAGCCGGTGACTATCCAGGGTGACATAAAGCAAGCCATTCCAATGGGATAAAGACAAGGTTCATTTCTGGGTGTCCCCAGCTAAAACAATGCAACAGTGGTCTGTGACAAATGGGCAGATGACCCCAAAATGCCCCACAGCAGGCTCATTAATTACTGTACATGGGAGCCTTGAGTGCTGGAAGTGGTCATTTCTAAGTGATGGCTGAGAAACTGTAGCAGTACAGGACAGAAAGCTTGATTTTTAGCCACCGGATCCTCCTACATGTCATGTGGATAACTAGAAGATTTTGACCTAAAGTCACCTTGTCCCAGTTTCTAATTCACTTTTATGCAAACTGGCTGATACTTTCAGAAATGAAAATCCCAAGATGTACTCAAGTAACGATCATTAGGTTTGCGTGGAGGGTTCAAGCTTATTCTGCATGTAGAAAAGAATGAACCTAATTCACAAGAAGCAAAATGAGAAATACTAATGAAAGGGGATGTGCTAATTCTCATAAACCCCTACTTGAAAGTGCAACGTCCAGTGTTCAGAATGAAAAGTCATTTCATGTCATGAGTGACCCATTACACAAAAAAATCCAGAGAAGGAAGAACTAAAAGGAGAAAGAGAGCAGTTGGTAGAACAGTGCCATTGCTTTTTCATAAATTATACCCCAAAATGTTTCACAAAATTGAAGAAAACAGAACAAAACAGAAAGGACCTTTTTGTGGCACATTCCTTTGGCAAATGCAGGGTAAAGCCCATCATGTGAGTCCAACAGCAAATGAAGGCCTTATGCTTTATGAAAATTCTCCTATTGTCCCAGCAAGGATGAGAGTCAAACATAGCAGTTTCAGCAATGCTTTTGCAAATAAAGTTAGCAGGCAGGAATCAGCAGACTGCTTGGGGAAGGGGAAAAAAAAAAAAAAAAAGATAAAATACTCTTTCTGTACTCTTTCTGTACACAAAATATAGGCACACTGCTCTGCATTTCAGACCCGGCTTCACCGTGAGATTAATCGGCCCCACACAATTTAGCAAACAGCATATGACATCCATCTACCTCTGCTGCTTCAGCATCTTCCCAAAAATATATAAAGCAGGATTTTAAATAGTACGTTAGCCCAGTTTCCTTTCACAAAGCCTTACAACGAAGTTTAGGAAAATTCCAAAAGTAGCATATTGATTGCCTCTGGGATTTTCCACTTAGCAATTTAATAGAAAATTACACCCTTACCCAATCTGTGAGGTTTCAATAACCTCCCTCATGAATTTAATTTTCCAGAGTCTAATAAATTTCACCAGTAGGCATATTTTCTTACATTGCTTCACCATTAAGCCTATTTCCCTACCTTGCTTTTCAGACCCAGGTATGCTCTGTCTATGGTGTTCAGACCAGCACCTTGCACAAGAGAATTCAGGTCTGGCTGTGTCCACACACGCAGTCAGGATACAAATCACTATTGTTAATATTCAAATTGCTTTCCTCACACTAATTTTATGTTTTTATTCCGAGTGTTAGGGTCAGTCACTATTACCGGAGCCAATGGGATTCTCCTGGGTACTGTGACGAGACCAAAGGAAGATCTGCATTTACATCTGTTCGGGTAGGCGTTTGCAAGTTATCACATACTCTTCCCCTTGTCACAACACAGCCTGACTGCACGTAAAACACAAGATGATGATCGGGAGCTGTGTTTTCAGTTATTGGTAGTCATAACTGTAAAAGCCTGGGTCCTTCCTCTACTACAGGCAACAGGCAGAAGTATTGCTGACTATAAAAACAAACACATTAACCAGAAACGAATTTAGAACTGGAAGTATTGCTGGAAGTGTCAAGTGCTGAATAAATCCAAGCAGCCTTTGGGCCATCCGTACGGCTGCGGTGACCTCCCGGTGACCATCGGAGAGGCACTAAATCTCACTCCTCCGGAGGACTGAGACTCTTTCCCTCTTTGTACAGCGTTTAACTCGCCAGCCCGGCGTGCTCCTCCAGGCCTCGGTCCGCGACGCGAGCGGGCACACCGCTGCGATAATGACCGTAGAGCCCGGTAACGAGCCGCTGCTGGCGTCAGCCGAGCCCCGTTTCTCGCCTTTACCTACTTTGCGCAGCCCTATCCCCTCCGGACCTTGTCCCAGGAACGGCTCCGCTAAACACTGACAGTTCCCCCTTCAGCCCCGCAGGGAACCCACCGCCACGGCCGGGGGCCGTGGGCAGCGGCGCGGCCCCGAGCGCCCGGCGGCAGCGCAAGGCCGCACCGAGAGGCCGCCGCTCCCTCACGGCCGGGCACCCCCGCTGTCCGCCGCGGAGCCTTGCCGAGGCCGCGGTTGGGGAAGCTGTGGCGGCGGCGGGGCACGGCAGGGGGAGCCCGAAAGTGCCCGGGAGGGGATGGGGTGTGTGGGGATGGGGAGCTGTGGAGGCGGCGGGAGGGGGTACACAAAATGGCGCTGCCCCCTCAGCCCCTCTCCCCACCACCCCCGCGGCGGGGCCCGGCGGCACCGGCCGCCTTTCCCCCCACGGCGTGCGGCGTGTGGCGGCGGGCCAGTCTCGGGGTGGCAGTTTACGGCCGGGGCTGGCGGAACCGCCGCGGGGCGCGCCGGGCTGCGCGCCGCCTTCCCCCAGCAGGTGGCACCGGGGTCCCGGAGCCGGCGGCGAGCCATTGCGGGCCGCCCTTCGCCGCCGGGCCGCGGCCGCGCAGCCGGCGGGGGGGGTGAAGGCGGCGGCGGCGGCGGCGCTGCCCGGCATCGCCCCCTCGGGGCTGCCCCCGCCGCACCCCGCTTTCCCTCAAAGTTTAGGGCGGGAGGTAGAGGGGGTGTGAGGGGAAAGAGCGGAGCCAAGTTGTCCCGGAGCCCTTTATTCAGCGCCGGAGCCGCTGTCTCCCAACCCCCGCGTGTTTTTTGCTGATTAAAAGACACGGACCTCGGTCCTGCCACCACCGGCGGGTGGCCGCCTGGCCGCCCCGCTCCTTCCTGCCCGCACCATGGAGTTCACGCAGAGGAAGAGAAGCAGGAAATCCCAAAGCTTTAAACTGATCAACGAAGGTAAGGCGGCGGCCGGGGGTGGCTGGGGCTTTGTTCTTTCGCCGGGGGCAGACGGAGTTTTGCACCGGGGGGAAGCGGGGCGTTATGAAACGCCCGAGCTCCGCGCCCCGAGTCGCCGCTCCCCCCTTCCCCGGCGCTGTTATTTAACTCCGCAATCCTGTGCTTCAACTCCCCGAAACCATTGCACGCCTTGTATTTGCTTTGCTCTTATCCCCCTTTTCCTCATTTTAACCGGGTTTTCTGCATGTGTGTTCCGTGTTGTTGCAACACCCCCAACCACCCCAGTAAGCTGGACGTGTTTTTTTTTTCCCTTGCACAAAATAAAGTTAGATCGTGTTTCGTGGTAAATCCTGCTTCTGGAGGGGGGGGGGGAGGAAAGGTAAAAGCAGGAAGCGAGCAGAAAAATAATGACACTTGAGCAACAACGGACCTTCTTAGTATTCAACTCCTGTGGATTTATTGTGTTTGGGGTGGGTTTTTTTCCTCCCCTCGACTGTGTACATCCGCGTGTTTCAAAGAAAAGCAGAACAGAGGTTGCTTTATTAACAATCCACGCAGGTAACTAATCGTACGTGGGCAGGGGAGAGCCACTGGCGTGTAACTTGTTCACTCGGGGTGTGTTTGCTTTTGGAAAAGGAGCTATTTGAAAAGGCATCGCGGAGGGGGGGGGGGAGCTTGGATTCATGTCAGGGAAGGAGCACAGGAAGGAGCACAGCTCTGTTTTCAGTCTTGTTTGGTTGGGGGTTTCTTATGATAGTAATAGGAGAAGATGCAGCCGCTGGTGGGCATTTTAACAGGTGGACTTCCCAGCCCTAGGGATTTGTTTTGGTTGGGGATTCATCCCTTCTCTGGCCAAAGATCTTTTTGCTCTGATGCATTTGACTTGAGATCTTGTTTTTCCTTTTGTGTTTCCAAGTATTGGGTGAGGATATCTCCATGAAACGGCTGTGTGTGTCCTGCATGCTAAGTTCAAGGCAGGTGACTGCTTGGATGTAATGTCACACTTGGGAAGGGGGACACACACATGCAAGTGTCAAGGCTTGCTGTCTGAAGAGCAATGTCTTTGCAGGAGCTTGGCATAATTATGTCTGATGCAAGGAAATTTAAAGATGGAAATAGGCTCACTTGGCAGGAATAGTAAATAATGACTGTCGTATCCTCATGGGGGGGTCTGGAGCATTGCACTTACTCCCTGTTAAAACTAGAAGGGCAGCGACCTGTCAGACTTGTCTGAAAGGTATTGGAGGTCTGTGTGCATTAGCAAACCTATCTAGGGTTTGATTTCT